GCGATTTTCCTTACTGAGGAGTTGGCAACACTGAGAGCAGCGGTCCCCAACCTTTTTTGCGCCACGGACCGGTTTATGCCCGACAATATTTTCATGGACCGACCTTTAAGGTGTCGCGGATAAATAAGACAAAATAAAACTAGTACCAGTACCGAAAAAAAGAAAATTTATTCATAGCACATGTGAAAAGACCAAGGAAAACTGAGTAAACGATAAAAACGATAACAAAATAACGCTGAAAACCGATAAAAACCCTGAAAACTATACATTTCACACCTGAGCCTCAACTCTCACGGCCCGGTACCTAACGACTAACGGACCGGTACCGGTCCGAGGCCCGGGGGTTGGGGACCGCTGATTAAGAGGATCCGAGGGAAGCTCGGAAAGCTAAGCAGAAGTTATTTGGAGAGGAGAGTGACTGCTGTTGGTTTAAAAGAGAGGTAAAAAAAACTTCAGTGGTGTGGAAACATTATGGGTTCGCGGAGTCAGACGTGGATCAAGTAGACATAGTGTGTAAACTTTGCTACAGTGTCGTAGCTGCACCACAGAGCAACACTGCAAAGTTCACTAAACATAGATGTTTACATTTTTCATTTATTTTTTATATTGCAAACATTTGCACTGTTATCAGTATTTGCACACTATTTTATGACAATCTTTAAAGTCATTATTCAATACATTGTTATTGTTAAATAAATATCGTCAAATAATCGAGATCTCAATTTCAGTGAAAATAATCGTGATTATCATTTTTGCCATAATCGAGCAGCCCTACTACTAACACCAAAACATTTAACACTTTTGAATTTGCTGTGTAGGAGACACCATCAGTATGTGTTGCAATAATACGTTACATGATCTGCTGAGTTTGCAAGTTTGATCAGTTATAAAGAAACACATTACATAAAAGTTATAAATTGATTTGCATGTCCTTGAGTGAAAATAGCATTTGATCCACAAGTAAAACATGATGTTTCTTGTAGGTGGTCACCAGGTTTGCACACATCTCATCAGGGATTTTGGACCTTTGTCTTTACAGAAACACTCAAAATCATTTAGGTTTCTTGGCTGCTGCTTGGCAGCTCCAATGTTTCCATCTCCGTGCTTGACTGTGGGGATGGTGGTCATTGGGTCATACTCAGTATTGCGCTTCCTCAAGATATGGCAGGCTGCACGAATGCCAAAGAACTATGCTTTCATCTGATCACAGCAATTTTTGCCATGCCCTCTCTCAATAATTTATATGTTCACTGGCAAACTTTAAATTGGCCTCTGCATGTGGCTTCTTAAGGGGAGGACTTTGCAGATGCTGCAGGATTTCAGTCCATTACAGTGTAGTGTGTTACCAACTGTGTACTGTGGCTGGGTTTCCAACTGCCTTCCGATAACAAACAAGCTCTTCCCATGTATGTATGGGTTAATTTAACACCTTTCCCATAATCATCTTCACTCCATGAAGCAAGAACCTGCATTGAGCTCCAGACTGAAGGTGATTGATCGTCATTTAATATTTCTTCCACTTCTAAATAATCACACTGATAGTTGTCACCTTCTCGTCAAACTTCTTGCTAACACCCTTGTATCCCATTCAAGCAGATCTACCATGTTTTCCTTGATGTCCTTTGACAGCTCTTTGGTCTTGCTTATGGTGGTGGAGAGTTTGGAATAAAAGAAATTGATTCTGTGGACAGGTATGCTTTATACACATAATAAAGTTGATTGATTGATACATTTTTAATTCTGAGAGCCAGAATTCTAAGAGATCAAATACTTATATCACTCAATACAAATCAGTTTCCAACTTGTGTGTAAAAAAAAAAAAGTAAGGAGAGAAACAATCAAAAGGACTGTAAGTGTGTGTGTGTGTGTGTGTGGAACAGCAGAACATAGCCAACAGGTTGTTTACAAATTAACTTCATACACACTCTTAGGCCTGTTGCCAAATTAGAGGATGTTGAAGCTTCTCACTCCTGCCCTCTAGAGACTACACTAGCTGGAGAAGGTAACTAGCCATTCCTCAGTGGGGTTTACCAAAGTCCACCCAGGGAATCATTAAGAATTTCTATTGCTGGGCAACACTAAGCACATGGGCCCTAAGGACAAGTTAGCAACTTCACCACATTAAGTGGGTGGAACTGTGTAAATGTAGAGGGAACAGACTACATGGAAAAAACTACATATACAAGTAGACCAACACAATTCTGGCTATGATGCAGCTACTGGGAAGGACCTTGACAATTGAGCAAAATCCTAAATGTAATGTGAAGACCTGAACTTTTACAAAGACAGGACTACGAACTTTAGTTTGCAAAAGACAAACAAGTAGTCTGTTTTTTTTTAAATGGGAATCTTTGAATCCAGTGCCATTGCCACAGGCTTATAAAATTGAGCACTTAGCCATGCAGCCTACCTTTAAAAACATTTGTCTAGGAATAGATTGATCTAAGAGCACAATGAATTTGAGCGTGATATAATAAAAGGATGTCAGCAACTCAATAAGGAAAATTTTCCTTAAATATTAGATTTATTATTTTTTATATTAGATATTTTTCTAGATATTCTAAGATCAACTTTACTGGTATTTATACAAAGTGAAAGCTTTCAGAAACCATAGTTATTCAAACCCAAACTGGGTTTACTGAACAAATTAGGTTTTTTAGGTTTACTTGAGTCATTTGTGCTGTTTTAAGAAAACATAAAAATTAGATTTACTTTAAAAAGTTGTTGCACTCAAGTGTGTAAAGTAACTCTGAAGAAATTGGCTGTTTTGTACTCTAAAATGTTTGATTCAATGACAAGCCACTGAATTAACCTGAAAGAATAGAGAATTTTACTGAAATAACATCAAAGAAACTACAGAGGACTCTTTAAAACTGACAATGTAGAGAAATATTTTTTATGTGATTTGACAGGCTAATTCAATGACCTTGAGCGACAAAACAAAACAAACCTTTTTTTTCCAAACCTCCTTTGGCATTAACATCAGTACAAAAGCTGTGTGCTGGGAGCTTTGTGGCATCCAAGGCCAGGAAGCAACTGCAAGTGTATTGTGTATGTGATCCAGTACTTTTGTTTATATTGTGTATGGACTAGAGATGGCACGATACCACTTTTTTATGTCCGATACCGATATCATAAATTTGGATATCTGCCGATACCGATATGAATCCGATATAGTGTTTTTTAATCAACAAAACTGTTTTTTTAAATATCTTGCTGCATTTTGTATAAGTTCACACTCAAGTTTAAAACAACAACTACACTAAAGCTATTCTGTTATACCTATATGCAAAAAAAAAATTTCATAGTTCAGCAATACTGATCAATCTAATAAACTTAAACCTACACCATCCTCCCTATTCTGGTATTTTAAAGAGTACTTAGCGTAAATATTAAGCAACCTAACTAATAGGGTTCCAACTCCCAGCAACAACAAAAATAAATAAATAAAAAATAGGGAACCACCCCTCACGCTCCACCTCATGATGCTTAATCGACGTAATCAACCTTGATTTGATGCAGTGTGGAAAAAAAATGCACAGAAATCAATTATTTTTCAAGAAATATTAAATAGATTCAACATCTTTCTTCAACAAATTGCAGACTGCACAGATGGTACCTTCCCAAAGGAAAAAGTACTATAGCTTACTAGGGTATATATATTAGACTTAATAGTCACTATATACAGTAATTGACTTCTATTCCTTTTACATCAAATTAAAACTTTGGGTGTCAGATAATTATTTATTAAAAGCTAGACATTTTAAATGAGAATAAGAAAGAAAAGTATTTCTTTGTGCCCCCCTTTCCCTGTTCATGCCCTATCAGCCCCCCTGGCTAAACTTTGCTAGATCCGCCCCTGCACAGTTACCAGCGTCAGCTAGGTAGAAAAAGATCTTGGTGTAGAAAGTAATATTAAATAAATTCTAACAACAGCTGATCAAACTTAAACGTGCTGCTGTTGTTCAGCCGCTGGTTTCCACTTTCTGGTGCAAAGTGGGCCAAAAACAAAGAAGCCGATCAGCTGATCATTAAGCAGTTTCATGATTGAAGTAGCAGCAAGAAGAGGCAGTCGCTTGTTAAGCTTAACGCAGGAATGCTTTACAAACATTCAGAGATGGACTTACACACTTGCTTTACTTCTCTCGGGGATAACTTTGTCAGAGATGAAATGCCAGGTTGCTAGCGAAGCTCCACATGCTATCCAGACCACCGACAGGTCCCGCATGCCACAGCCGCTCTATCACGTGATGCATACTGCTCCGACGTGCTAACGTTCTGAGGTGAGTTATGGCGTGTTGCAAGTTTTGTGAGGTGCTTTCGTGATATTTAATGGATCGGATTACATTTTTTATTTTTCTCCGATATCCGATCCAGTAATTTAGGTCAGTATCAGACCGATACCGATACGTAATATCGGATCGGTCCATCTCTAGTATGGACCGAATAAACTTGGAAGAAAGCCGGACCAATTTAAAATATTAACTGATTTCCACTTTGATAGACAGGGAGAGAAAAATGTGCAGCAGTGAGTTTCTGCTGGTAGCGTGATCACCATGGGTTACTTGCAGAGGTTCATATCACACTTAGTTTTTGTGAAAGTAATTATTCATCAATCACATTACCCTTGAGGTTCAGTCCTTTATATGTATAGAATATGTAAATATATGTTAATCTCCAAACAATGGAGAACTAATGTATTCACTGACAGAAAGAAGTCTTCAAAAATAAATTGCCTAATATGATTCTGTAAACTTCCCACACACTCAGCTATGGCACGCAAAAGCTTTAACTGGCAGAAGCTGTTCTGACAGATCGAAAAAGCAGAATTTCACCTGAGAACCAGATCCAAATGCATGCAGCGAGATGTTTGCATACTCAGTCTCACCAAATGGTCAGAAACACACATCTGAAGTGAAAACAGTGATGGGTTTAACTCTGTGTTTGTGTTTAATTTCAGCATAATCACTGAAAACACTCAAGAGGCAGAAACCCGCAAAGCTATGTCAGTAATTTATTTGTTGGCAAACAACTTTCACTGTTACAACAAATATTAGTTATGAGATCATTCAACGTGGAACCCATACAAAAAGAATAAATAATTAGCAGTAATATTGTAATAATAATCAAGATCATAATAATTTAAAAAAAGAAATGAAAAACCCCAAAAATTAAAAAAATTAAAAAAAACAAACCCAGTGCCACTTTATTTACTCCTGCCAGCTTTCTTTCCTCTGAGCTTGTTTTGCTGTATTTAAACCAATAAACTGATAAATAAATAATTTCTCTCTTGGGGACATGGCGGGGTTTGTGGAATACATGTGCAAGCTACACTTCATACACTTATTCATTTTCCTGCTAAATAAGTAAACATTGGCTTCCCACATTGGACAGTGCTCTTGTGTGCAGATTTTTCACATTTTCAGTACACAAATATGGTGTAGCCATGATATTTCATTGGTAAGACTGACCCCTTTGTAAAATAGTAGATTCTCTGAGCATTTTTCTGTACAATAAGACCTCAAACAGCACTGTAAGTTATTATCAGTTGCTAGAATATTTGGCAGAGGATATGTTTTTAAAAACTATTTTTGTGCTACGTCTTAAATCTGGCGTCTTTGTAATTTTTCACACCGAGGCCCCTCGCGCAGGGTCAAAATGAGATGAGATCCTCTTCCATCAAAAGTCTAAAATGTAGCATTTCCATAGTAATCGCTTCCTTCGTCTCTTAACTACTTCAGTTTCCTGCTTGGTTTAAATCTACACAAGTGGCAAAGTATATAGTAACAACTAATTTGCAAAATGTACGTGACAGTGGTGTTGCTATAAAAAGGACCAGGATGAAGTGTGCGTAGGGTATATGCGTATTAATTAAGGGGTGCTTGACCGCCTCTGCATTACGAGAGAGTGACATGAAAGATTGTTTCTTGCTCGTTCTGCAGTCCTCTCGTGAACAGAACATATCATTGCATTTCAGAACGTTTTCACACACAAAAGGTTTGCAACTTAGGATTATAAAATAAAAGACTTGGTCATATGCAACATTTGTATCTGTATCTGGATTCTGTACAATACATAGAAACAGTTTGTGATTTCTTCATAATCCTTTGATAACGGAAAACTTTTACAGAAGAAAGGAGAAGAAACAGAACTTTTTTTTTCACTTCAGTCTGTTGTAATATGATCTTCCTTCTTTGTTTTCAGTGAAATACACAGTAGCCGCTGTCACTACGACTTGCAGGAATGTTACACCAGCCCAGACACAACTCCAGTTTAGCAGATACGAACAGGAAGAGAACTTCGAACATCAGTTTGATATGGTTACAGTTCAGCCGCCCAAATAATATCAGTGGTTCTTTTTCTTTTCTTTTCTTTTTTTTTTTTTTCTTTTTTTTGGGTGATTGTTAGTGAGGGCATATATCATACATCCTTCACTTGATTGGCAGGTAGCGGTGCTTCTTTGGGGCCAGTTTATGCTGTGAACACCAGAGTCTGACGTCCTGCTCTACCCTTTATTGTCGTGGAAACGTCATCCAACATATGCGTCTTTAAGAGTTAGACAGACAGACAGACATACAGACAAACAGACAGGCAGCTCTTTTCACCCAGGGCTGGGGGCCTGGGCCCTGTTGTGGTGGTAGTGGAGACTATATGCTATAATCTGCTAGAGGTCCATATTGGTAAACTTGTAGGGCTACGGTCAATCCGAAGATTCCAAATAAAAGTAACAGGTACGGTAAAATTACAGAATCCCTCCCCGTTCCTTTTCTGTTCTGAGTTCAAACATTCCATTCTGGCTTGATGTTCACAAAAAGTCTTTTAGAGCTGCCCTCTCAGTCTGCACCTTTTATGACAGTACATTCAATCCCTGCTTTTAACTGGCCAGTGATGTCTCAATCATATTGTCATGGGCCGCCGTTAATGTTACACACAGTACCTCAATCCAGGGTCGGGCCAGCTCAGTCTGTCAGTCAACAACACAGAATGTTTTCACTGAAAGGTTGAAAGTGTAAAGGTGGGCTGGGGAGGGACAGAAGTCTCGACTGCCTCTATAGACTGGTAACCAGGTGAGAAGGGTCTACAGGCGGCTCCTCGGGTGATGAATCGGACTCATCCTTGCTCCCAGAGACCATATATCCATCACTGCCACCACGGCCCATGTGGTAGTAGCTCTGCAGCTCGTGAAGGTGATTCCTGGAGCCCAAGTTTGGCATGCTCTTATAATAGACATCATCCAGTTCAGGAGCAGTAGCACTCTTACAGGGCTGTAGCTCCCCGGAGCTGTCTTCCTCTCCGTCTGTTAAACCATTCATCTGCCCATCTGGGAGGTCCGTCAGCACTGGCATGCTGGTGTAGAGTGAGTCTCTGTGGTTTGGTGAGTGCGTGTGCTCATCAGTGTGCTCGTTTGTCAGCAGGGGAAAAAAGCTCTCGCTGGTCTCTTGAGGAATGCGCCGTGGCCGGGAGAAACTGTGAGGTGGCGGCGGCGGCGGGGGGTGGCTGTCTGGCGGAGGAGGCCGTGGCGGCAGGAGAGGTGCATTGGACTCCTCTCTGATAATCTCCAAACCCAGGTTCTCCTCATGGGGGAAGGCTACAGAGTTGTCTAGTACCATGGGGCCATTGTCCTCTTTACTGCCTCCCACACATCCACCAACTCCACTGCTGCTGCTGCTGCTGCTGCCCCCTGCCAGGCTCCCTGGAAGAACCAGGCAAGAATCATATTACACCACACATCTCAACATGTTAGCCCACTGACGTTAAATCATTTTGAACAAAAAGCACTGCCACTGCTACCCAAGGCAGAAACTTTAGCATTACTAGTAAAACAAGTATTAAATTTTTTAAATTGTATACTTTATTGACCCCCGTGGGGAAATTCCTCTCTGCATTTAACCCATTCACTCTGTGAAGTTTAAAGTCCCCACTCTAATTTTCAGAAATTAACAACAGATTAAATTAGTCCTGCTATGTGACACCGGACCCAAAGAGAGCGATTTAAAGGATGTCAGCTCATTTGATGTCATTGTCCAGGTTGTCTTGCTTTCGAAATTACAGTTTTACTTGAGCTCACCACTTTCAACAGTGCAATTTTCGCCAGCATCATATGTCTGTTATCCAGTAAAAAAAACCAAACCCCCCCCCCCCAAAAAACTACTGTCTGCTAGATCTGCCCACTACCAAATGTCACACAGGCAAAGCAAAAGGAAAAAGGATCAACTTCAGGTAAATCTACGCTTCACAATAGCTGCCAAAAGTGTAAAAGTTTGGTATTGACATATCAGCTGTGATAATATGTCGCAGTTGTTTAAGCTGTCTGCGAACGGTTAGAAATAATAATTATTGTAGATTTTAATATGTTGCTCACCACTTCTATTGTGCTGTTTTGTTGAGTTCACCTGAACCCTCAGAAGGAAGGGTTACTGCAAATCATTATAAATGACAGGCTTTTGCTTAATTCAGTTTAATAATCACCTGTCTGCATAAATCATTGTAACCAGATAAAAACCCAGATTCTACTCATTCACCCACAGAAACAAAAAGTGTTTACACGCATTTATAATTACTCTAAGACTATTTTTGTTGTAGTGAGTTAACAAGCAGTGCCACTTAATAAATCGAAATATTTACATCTGTTTATCAAAACCTTCAATTATATAAATGAAACCACATTCACCTCCATTGGCCATGCTGCTGTTCACCAGTTTGTTCATGAGGTTGTGATTGCGCTCCGTGGTTGCTCTCTCATGATTGTTGAGGTAAGATGGGATATAGTTGGACGTCAGCTCCTTGAGGATCTTCTTCTCTAGAGTTGTCTCCTTGTGGTTGCCGTGGGTGCCGTAGCCGGCGCTACGGTCGAGGATCTGGACACAGTCGCTCAAGTACTCACTGCTCGCCATGCTGTAGTTGTTGGCATGGTTACCATTAAGAGGGAGTGTATCCATAACACTGGAGTCTCTTGCGTTGTTCAGGATGCCCTCTGAGAAACAATTTTAAAAAGTGCTAATTATTAAGATGTAAGAAAAAAACAACTCCCAAGTGGTTTTTTTACAAATGAAAGATTTTAATTATTGTTTCACATCGTAGTGGGTGCTGTGAATTGAGGATTAAAAATTAGCAATGATAAATTTCTTGGAAAGAAAAATGCTTCAAGCGTCCATAATTCATTAAGGAGAATCTTCATAAGTACTCTTCTTTTTCAATTGCTGCTAGCACTACAACAATACAAAAAGAAAAGTTAAAATTTCACTGAAAAATGTTTTAAGTAGAACTTCTAGTAATTATACAGGAGTTATTATCACATCTCATCTCCCTGCTGGTCGACTAATACTATAGATACTGTATATCGACTGGAAAACTTTTTGGGGAAAAAAGGTTTTGCATAGGTTGGATTTAAAACATTAAATTGCTTTAAATTCAAGAAAATAATTATGTAGCTGAAGTAGTTTGAGTAATAATGTAGTCCATACTTGTGTCTCGGTATGGTGCTAATGGACAGCATGAGGGAGAGAGAGAGAGAAGAGAAACACAGATGTGAATTTAGACATTGACAGAAACACATTTCAGCCACCGTTACATCAACAATTGCTCAACAACTAAAGGCAAGTTGACAAATTTTAAACACAAAAATCTTACATAATCATTACAGAACAAAATATCTGTGCTTTGTTATAAAGACAGAGAAAGAAACAGCATAAGAATCATATTTAAAATGCTATAAATGTAGATATTAAGCTTATGCAGACACATGCTGTTGCACAAGCAACACAAGGCCAAAATGACACATGCATGTAAAAATAAAAATAAAAGTAAATCTAACATTCATATAAAATGTAATATATAAGAAATATTTCATGGTTCACAAGTAGCTTTTTTAAGATATAGCAAATCTGCAAATAGTAATTTAGATAGAGTTGTATGCATATATGTACAGTTCAGTGTCATTGATCATCTCACTTGGGAACCATAACATGCATGCATCAAAATAGAAAGCACCTTTTAAACTGAAAGAACCATGCAAACTAAATCAATAAATAGATAAAATAAAGCAACTCTATGCTACATTTAAAAATGTTGTTCATAAATGGAACATCAGCCACACCTTGGGTGTTGTACATGCCCACAGCTGGGTTGTTATAGACTGCCGAGTCCCCCAGGAGCGTGTTATAAGGATTGTTAGTACCATGGGGACGAAGGAGAGCATTAGTTATAAGATGATTAGCCATGGCTCCTGGTACAGGCAGATAGAGAAAGAGAGAGGAAAAGCAATAGCCAAGTCGAGAGAGGAGGAGAGAGGAAAAGCAACAGCCAAGTCAAGAGAGAAAAAGAGAGAAGCACTCAGGAGAAAAAAAACAGAGTGGAGATAGAGGTTAAAGGAGAGAACATGTAGCCATTGCAGAGTGGAAGTAAGCAAGAAGGAAAAAAGAAGAAGGGAGAGCGAGATGGAGAGTGAGTGTGTGGAAGAAAGAGGGAGAGAAGAGGACAAGTAAATCAAACAGGCTAACAGTTCAGGGAGAAAGGCAAGAAAAAGCTTGACAAGTCATTCTTGCAGCCATTGCATACAGGCTGAGGGAGGGAAAGGGAGAAGGAGACAGAGAGAGAGAGAGAGAGACAAAGAGAGAGTGCCATAGCTTGGAGCAGACTGTGCTGCAGTTCAATACGCTTGAGCAGAGAAGCATGACTACAGGACAGTTAATGGACAAAGGGGCCACAGAAAGTGTTTTCAGTGCATTTTCTGAGAGACTGCTCATATACACATTAAGACAATGCAAAAAATACAGGCAACAAATGGGCACAACAGCTCTTATGCATTCATCCTCATGATGCTATCGACACTGTATGAAGCAGGCTGTGCTACTGCTGCCTGTGCATGTCATATAGCTTTAAAACAGAGAGGGGAAAAACAGGTTCAAATATCTCTGTGGTTTCAGCATAAACTCAAAGCAAAACATGATAAGAAATAATTATCCTTATCAGTTTTCTTTTCCTTTTAGTACCTTAGCAGCACCACTAATGAGGTGCAGAGATGGCATTATACATGACCAACCACTGTGTATGTGACGACCTAGTGGAGAGTCTGCATCATGCAGTTTTTCTTTTTGCTTTTCTTTTCTGCTCTTTCTAGCGGCTTCAAATGCAATCTTGCTAATATTATACAGTTGTCACTGACTGTGTGGGATCTGAACTTATGGTTATGTAAACTAGCTACATCTACGGATGCATCCCGTACCCAGTAAAATCATGTCTAAAGGCTAGTCAATCTATGAAAAATTTAGGGGCACAGCAATTTTTTACTTCCCTAAGGCATTTTTTTCTCATTTCTACACAATGTAAACTATAAACTTATGATTCCTATGCCATTATAACCCAGCATTTAAGAACTACATAAGTCATATATTGTCATAATATTCAAAAAAGGGGAATATATGCATTCTAGATCCTTTCAAATGTATGACTACACAAATTATTCATCAAAACTACAAATTACGGCGGCGTAAGAAATTGTAAGCTCTGACACATCAATCTGCTGCAAAATGGTAACGGTGGAGGGAAATTTGTCATAGCTGGACACACTGAAATGAAAATCACGTTAAGGATCTGTTATCTTTAATTACTTGAACTGATCCCTCCTTTTCTCGGTGCTGCCAAAAGTCAGCCACCGCTACGTGAATGCATGAGTTATTTACTGGTTGATTATGTGACGTGACGTCATTAGTCTCAAGCTACTGGAACTATTGTTGATCTTAGTTTTGCGGATGTCATCTGTAGATTTCCAGAACGTGTGTGTGTGTATATATATATATATACACATGTACATGTGTGTATATATATATATATATATATATATATTGCCTTACTTTAACCTTCCTAGTTTCTGGCTTACGTAAGGTGTTTAGTTGGCCATGACAAAAAATTTAGGTTGCTTGAAAATGTGTGTATAGCATCTCCTAATGTTGTTACTGCACAAATGAACCAAAGAGAAAATGATTCCCTTTTTTTTCTCCTTCTGGTCAAGCCTCCAAACAATCAATGTGGCATGTAGCTCAGTGATGCGCCTGTTTTACAACAGACTCTGTGAAAGTGTTGCCACATACACTAAGTAATATAACTACACTGAAAAAAGGCCTTGTTGGATTTACTTAATTCAATAGTGGACACTGGTTGCACACAAATGTTTTGCTTTGGCAGAAACTTAAACAACTGAGTTAAATCAACACAACTTATTCATATTCAATGACCCTGTGCATTTTGTGTTGATACAACGCGATTGAAACATGTTTAGATGAAGTAAGTTAAAGCTCTTGGAATATTTTAATCCTTCACAATTTTGTCATTTTATTTTAACACTATTCAATAACTTTTACCCCAGTACTACTCGGTCACTTAAATACTACATGTTGTCTTCATATTACATAATGTTCAACAAAGTCTAGAGTCTGGTTACCATAAAAATTGAATGGATCTACAACAACTACCATCCTCCTATCTTTATCCTGGTTGCAGGGGGGCTGGGGCATGAAATCCTGTGCAGTGTCACAAGATTTAACATTGCTATATTATTGACTTACTTCACTCGAACATGATATGAAGAATTTAATCTAGCCTCTCTGCATATAATGTAGTTTCTACACTATATAGTTACACTTAACTTTAAAGCATAAGGCAATTGTGTTAAATACACACAAGATGCTTACATAAATCCAAGAGATGGCCAATCAATTTTTTTCAGTGTACAGCTTCTTTAGTCTGACTCTCTTATTGTAAGCTGGTACTGTCAGAGTTTATTAAATACACATGTGAAAACAGTATTAGCTGATAGACAATTATCTTTTACTGCTAGGGTTCCAGATGAAGTGCATACCTTTGATTTGCAACCCACACCCCCCTTTTTTAAATCTTTTTTTACATTAAGTAACAGCTACATTTTGAATTAATTGAGAATATCATAGAGTGTTTGAGTTTCACTAAAATGAAAAACAGCCACATAGTAACAACTGACTCCTCTATTCCTGAGCATACCACAGAACCTTTTTTTTTTGGTCATTGCTGTGTAGGTCTCTCTTCTTCATTATAACTTAAATGACCTGGGCATAACAAGAAGTCGGTCTCTTATCTGACAATCCAATTTATTCCATTCCACCGTTATCCAATAAGTCAAAGTATGTAGTTATTTCAACATCTACTGGCTAAGTAGCTCCGTGTGGCATTCTTTAAAGTGTGAGGGAAGGAGGAGGTGTGGGAGTCTTAAGCCCTGCCTCACTAAGTGTGTGATAATTCAAGCGCTGACACGCACCATGTCTGCTTTAGTATCAATCTGTCATGCTAACAGCTTATTAGTGGCCTGAAGAAAGTGAGGGCCACACCTCAGCTTAGAGTCTAACAAATGGCAGCATGTGTTCTCTTGTGTGTGTGTGTGTGTGTGTGTGTGTGTGTGTGTGTGTGTGTGTGTGTGTGTGTGTGTGTGTGTGCACGTATTTCAAACTGTGTGGCCATTTGGGTATCTATGCCCTCATTACCCTAGCCCTCGGATAGCCATACCCATTGAGTTCATTCCTACAGTCCATTACACTGTCCTACTCTGAAGGGACTGCAATACACAGCTCTAAATAAAGTAGGGATACACTGAACTGGGCTTATTCATTTAAAAGGTTTGAGACTACAATAGCATACAAATTCTCAGGTGCAAATCCTGCAAAGTTTCGCTCTACTTAAAATGAAACGGGATGCTATGTGATGAGTAATGCTGTGAATTCATCTAAAAATATAACATTAATTTGCATAGCACACTGTATTATAACAAAGGTGTTATGGTGTTTAGTTTAAGTCCTTAACACATACTAACTTAAAGGATTCAAACCTACAGCAGTTAAAGAAACATCTGTCCTTGCAAAAAGAAGATTGGTGCTACAGCACAGTTAGCGCTTCACTCTGTAGATTTAATATTGTGACAATAAAGTAGTTTCAGTTTTGACGGGAGCCTGCCCAGACCTCTCCTTCCTGCGAAAAAGCAGCTTTTGAAGCAGCAAAAATAAGTAAGCGATATTTACACTATCCTGCTAATCTTCCGATCTTCAAGAACAAAATACCATTATCGGTAGTCTGGACCGCAGCTACTTTGCTAAATGACAGCGTATGCTGCCTGTGCCTCCCGCTATTAATAAAGCAGATAGGGTGACAGTGATGAGGATGCAAATTGTAGGTATCCCGTGGTTACCTCTGTTGAGCGTAGCAGAGCTGTTGATGTCTCCAGTGATGAAGGAGGACTCCTGTTTCCTCACAGTGTCATTCCACATCCGCCTGATACGACTCTATACGCATGAGAAAAGAAGCGAGAAAGAAAGAAAAGGGTAGAGACGGTATGGGCAAATTTGTAGAGGGGAAACAATAAAATGCAAGGGAAAAGAAATCAAAGGAAGAGCCAGCAACAGATCAAGGGAGAAAGGACACGACAACAAAGAAGGGAGAGAAATATGGTGAGAAAGTTATAATATATGGGAGGCGATTGGCAAAAAAAAAAAGGATCAAATTAGTGCAGGAGAGGCAGTAAATGGGGAAAAAAACCCAAAGCAACATCCGACAAAAGAGAAACAGGTAGGGAAAAATAATCATACATCAGTGTTTTTTGTACTCCATATACATTTTTTAAGCAACATTGTCTGTCACAGTCAGGGTTTTGGATCTCACACTTTCAACAAAACATCCATATTTTAAGTAGAGATGCACTGAATGTAATTTTACTGGACTATTGCATTTTTCTTTACTATGCTATGTTTTCTAACCTTTCTTTCGTGGAGAATTTCCATTTTTGCTCATAATAAAACATAGAAAAGTTTTTGAAACAGTCAATGTTTTCCAATACGACATCAGGTTACTGAACCTACTATCACTCCCACTCCAACAAACCCATAATCGAGTGCTCCAGGTTACTGGACACAATATTGAGCTTCTTCATTTACTGGCAAACAGTGCCAACAACAGTATATGATGCCAACTGAGCTGGGCAGATCGTGTCAGAGTTGGAGCTAATAAATGCTAAACAAAAGTTACTCTGACTTTGCTCTTATTGCAGAAAAGAGAGTTCTGAAATTACTAATGGATTGGCAGAACTATGAAAAAGAGTACATGGCAGATGGCTACACTGGTAGATTACTGGCAACTGAGTTAGCAGTATGAGGAAGCCAGATACATTTACAGCTTATAAGATATTACATTTTGCTTCACAGAAGTAATATATCTGCACAGCAATTAAAGTTGTTTTTGTTGTCTAAGGTGCACTATCGGCTATACCCTTGATCGGATATACTAGCCGACTGATCGGTGCAGCTCTAATTTAAAGCCCCAAAATAAACCGAATGGCATTCCAACTTAAAGTCGCATTTAATGTGTTTGCCTAAAATATGAGACGAGTTGAAAGTGAACAGCGATGATCCAAAACCCTCATGGCGTTATCTGGCCTCACCTGAGAATCTGCTGTGCTGTAGCGTCCAGGTGTGCAGGCAGGTAAGCTCACCTGTGAGCCTGTGGAGTAGCGGCCCGGGGTCCGCGAGGTGGTGGTTTTACTGGAGGAGGATATAGAAGTCTCCACGCTCTTGCCGCTGCAGCAGTGGGTGCGCAGACATTTGCCGTACTCTTTACGCACCTGGGCCCCAGATGGTGGGAGGAGGAAAAAAGCGTCAGAAACTGTAAATGCACTCTCAGCCAGCGCGTACAAAAGAGGGGGAATTGATTGATGTTTTTGCTTTGACGTTGCACATAATGATGCATATTTTCAAGATGACAGGCCGAGAAAGAAAAGACAAACTCTTCTTCTACTCAACTTCCTTGTGCAAACACTAAACCCATAAATTTAGACATTAGAAGATTAGCTCCATAAACTTTCCCCCATCAACATCCTCCCCAAGCTGCCACATATTCATCTAAAATGGACATATTCCTTAGGGGGAGATGTGATGCACTTGTACACACAGAACATCTGCATTTAGATCCCAATCAAGTTAGAACAAATACGACTGTAATTGCTTTTTAACAAGCTCGTCGGACTGGCAGGCATATATTGCCACATGCTCTGTTTGAACAGCTGTGTGGTGAGTTGCTCCATGCATCTTGGGAGAAACCAAGTTGGGTCGCAGCCAAAGAAAACCTCATCATTGTTCTGAGGACATCTCTCTGGATACCTGATCCCGTGACCTAGCACATACCTAAGTATACTGTGCACACACACCACACTTGTTTACTGGTCATGCACTTGAAACTAAAAATTGTCTGTGGGATGGCAGCCAGATGAGAGTATTAAGCATTTGATGAATCTTCTTTCCATATCCTACTCCTCTTCTGGAGTCCCAGGCACTGACAGTGTGTGGGAGACTGTAAAGGTATCCCGGTGTGTGTAGGCTCTTCCTGGAAGCCACACATAACTCAAGTATAAAAAAAGTACACACATGTGCTCACAAATGCCAGTAATCCTTTAGGCCAAGGAAACCCAAAAAAATATACTGAAGAGTTTGTTTTGGGTTTTTTTTTTAATTATAGAGGACTTGAAAGGTGAACCGTGTGTTAATGTGAGTCATAAAATCATAAAACTCACTTGAGGAAATTACTTCAAGTTTCAGGCAATTAGACTTCAAAACACTCATGCATGTCCTCTTCCTGGGTCCAATATTTAAAACAATTAGAGCTGAATATTATCAAAGTGTATAATATGCTATTTCAGGTGCGATGACCCTGCCTGATGATGGAAAACTTTCTTTGCTGCTGCTAGAAGAAGTAAGACAAGCAACTCAGTTTGTTACCTGCTGCCTCAAGGCAAGACAGACAGTGACAGCGAAAGAGAGTGTTAGGTAGCAAGAATGAAAAGGTGAGAGAATTGAGCAGTAGGGATACTGAATGACCAATCAAACCTCTGTGACAGCTCTGCAGATATTTTTGGTGTCCCTGTTGATCGTTTCTGGCTCGCATGTGTGCCTCTGTGTGTGTTTGTATGTGTCTGTCACACTGGCAGCTTCTGTCTAGCTTTGTGCCTCACCTTTTTCTGCAGTATGCAGTGGAAGATGAAGATAAACATGCCCTGCAGAGAGTTGAAGATGGTGAAAAGGTAGGCCATGATCACGGTGCTCTCGTTGATGTACATTAGCCCGAACGCCCAGGTCAGACCGAGCAGACACAGCAGAGCTATGGCCCCGATCACCCAGGACCTACAGGAGAAGACAAACAGTGAAAAATGAGAGATGCTCGTCCTGTTACTGTGTGTCATTATCAAATGAAATTCAAACATGAGAAGTTTGTCTTTTCCCCCCGTGGTGAAAAAACTAATCAGTCAAGGCTGACGCATGAGGGACCATGAGACGATAGAGGGGTTAGAAAGGGTTCATTATGAGCCCCAACACTGTAGGAGTAGACTGGAGGAAACAGCGGGAGTTTTGCTTAAAAGAATTAAAGCCTTATAAAAGGGTTTAGAGGAGGCAGTGCGAGTGGATCTTTTCATTTAGATCCAATCTCCAGAGAGCGAGGAGAGGTTATAAGCGAGCTGACGTCAGCCACGGGTATCACGAAGAAAAGCATTCTTCACTGAGCACACTTTTCCCAAGCTGCAGCCAAACTTTCTCAGTCAAAGTATATGACAGGAGGTAAAAAATCATTTTCAGGCAGAAGTAGGTCCTGAAGTCTGTTAGTGCACTTGTGACTATAACAGTTTAATGGGAGTAGATTTGATAAAAGTTTTTAAGGCTGCAAACCTTCATTTCAAATAAAGGCTATGAAGAAGTGAGTCATAAAGGCCAAATGTCAGAGAAACTTGGTCATGCGGAGGCATGTGTATGCATCGTAAGTCCTTGTCTGAGAATGTGTGTGTGCGCGCACGTGTGTGTGCATGCGTGTGCGTGCGTGTGTGTGTGTGTGCGCGCGTGTCCACGTGAGTGTCTTCATCGGGCAGTAAGCAGAGGGACATTACGGCCATTATAAATGACATTTCCCACTAAAGGTCATAGATTTGTGTCTGCCAGAGCCGAGATGATAGCTGTTAATTTGATTGGCTGACTGGGCAGTGATCACCTCTAACACAAGTGATAGAGACAAAGAAAACCGGCAAGGAAAGAGAGAGCAGGAATGGAGATAGAGAGAGTGAAAAAACGCAGCGGGAGAGATATTAGGAGAGTCATGAGGAAGGAAGACAGACAGAGGAGGAGAGTAAGTGAGTGAGACTAAGGTGATTGATTCGATGTTTCCCTCTGTGGCACCATTCAGGCGAGACAGAACCTCCAATAAAGCTCGTCTGACGACCCTCTTCAATAAAGGGTATGCTCATCTCTCTTTTCCATCCCACCATTTCACCTCTTCCTCCAGCGTTCCCTTGAGTCATGGTTTCTCTCTCAGCTCTGTTTCCATGAATTCACATCTCACCTTTATAATATTTCAATAGCACATTAGGTCTATAGGTCACAGGACCTCACAAATCACACACAAACAAGAAATCCATTTTACAAGACAGGTTCACGGTTAATTTAGGTGTGTGCATAGACTACAGGAAGACTCCACAGACACATGAATAACAAGCAAACCAAACAAAATGTCTCTAGGAAGACAACACTGATTGGAGAGTGGCCTTACCAGAGCCAATCCACAACAAAGATAACTTATGATGGCTTGGAGTTAGAGAGACAAAGAAAACAAAAGGAAGAAAAAAATAAGACAAAAAGAGCATGATGGTGATTAACGAATAAATGAACCACAATAAGACATGACTAATGAAGTGAAATAGATTAAAATCTAGACAGCCTTCAGTGTTCTCAGAAAGACTAAGGAAAGTCATTAAGAAGAGGGGGGAAAGATCCAAAGCATCGTGTTTTAAACGATTCTTTGATTTCCATCTTTCATCAGATTTTTTCTTATTAGAGTACTTTTTCCTGAACTGCACTAAAGCAAAGATCAGCTGGCTTCGCCTTTGCTTCTGAAACACTTCCTGCTTGAAGTCCTACTTAAAAACTGCCTCCATTGGCAGTAATATTTAAATCATATGAGAACCGAGTCATTTTTGGGATTTACATTATAAATTCTGAGCTCGGATACGCGTTGAACTCTGAGCCAAGGCATATTGTTTGAATTAGACTGAGCCTTTTTTGTCTTGAGCTGGACTCGAACAAGAAATGACACAATCCCGATTAGTTAGCTTGGTAGAAAGAGTTTCAGTATTTAATGGAAGTGAAGTCATATTTCAGTGGCACCCTCTAAGGGTCTCTTGAATAATAGGGACATGCCTGAGAATAATGATTTGAAGAATTTAGAGGGTAGCATCTCAAAATTATGTAAGATAAAGGTGAAAGGCGCTCCATGCGACAGGGTAGCATAAAAATGTAGAATTAATTGAATAGTTCGACTTTTTGGGAAATGTGCTCACTTTCTTGCAGAGATGAATGTGAAGATTGATGCCACTCTTGTGTTTGTGCAGCCATGATGAAGTCGGAGCCAGCAGCTAATGAGCTTAGTGTAAAAACAATACTCCTGGTTCTGTCCAAAGGTAACATTCTAATGCTCACTAATTAGCATGTTATAGCCTTTCGCTGACTCCATAAACAAAACAAACTGAAACCAACAATGCGATAAATTCAGAGATTGTGTCTCTCTTGCCTGAGAAATAGTATTGTACCTTACCTCCATAATTTGTGTTTATGCTTCCACTTATATATAAATGATACAAACAACAAAACATAAAGGCTTTAACTGAACTAAAGGTATCAACTTGTAGCTTTTGTTACCATTGGGCAGCGCCAGGCTTAGTGTTTCAACCCTATTCGAGTCTTATGTTAAGCTAAGCTAACCATCTGCAGCAAAAGTACTGCGCAAAAATTTAGAGTTATGCCTCATTTCTCTGTATTTTGCTAGGAAATAGGAAGAAGTTGAATAGTTGAAGTGATTTAATGAAACGTGTGCAAACACACATACAGTATAAAAGGCGAAAACGACGTTTGTACAAAGTGAAGTGAATATCCATTACGCCGACCTTTATTCTCTAACATAGCCTGAACTCTCTTATGCAAGTTTTAATTCTTTAATTAGTCTTCAGGAATAGTTCTCCAGACTTCTTGAATGACATTGAAGGCTCTTTGGATTTTGGCTCTTTTCTGTTCTCTGTCAAGATGATCACACACGGCTTCAATAACGTTGAGGTCCGGGCTCTGGGGAGGCCAATCCATCACTGACAGCATTCATTATGTTTTTCTCTATCCAGGTATACTTTTAATGCACTGCCAGTATCTTTGGGATCATTGTCATGGTGTAAACTGAAGCTGTTTCCTAACAGGAGTTTTCCAGATGGTGGATCAAAATCAGGTCATACTGTAGAAACACTGTTGTACTTTTCTGCGAACATCCTCAGAAAATATTGATAAAGATTAGAACAAAAAATGTGTAATTTTGATTCACCACACCTTAAGACCTGTTGCCACTGATTTTCAGGCCAGTTATTGTTTAATGTTTCAAATTTCTGCCTTTTCTCTGTTTCCTTTCCTTATGACTTGCTTCTTGAAAACTATCCTTGCACCGAAACCATTTCTGATAAAGCTTTAAATAATAAACGACGGATCAAATGAACAGCCAGGTGTATTTTTGACTTGACTTTACTATTTATTTGCTGTAGATAGTTTTTCTAGGCCTGCTACTTCTTTTGTTCTGCCCTTGTCCAGTTTCCTGTTTCATGACGCACTGCACACCATTGGAAGTCTTTGGGAATCATCTTGAGAATGCCAGTTCATTCCTTGAATTAGTCTGTTTATGCTCAAATGACTCATAAGTCAATGTTAAAAAAAACTAAACATTTAACTGAAAATGGTCAGGTACAAGGACTGGATTAAAAATGAGTGCAAAAGCATTGGAAGACCTTTGGAAAGCTTGGAGAACTATTGCTCAAGACCCCTTAAAAATGCCGAGAAAGTTTGGATTCTTAAAATATAAAGAAAAAAGGGCAGTTTCACAATACTGTTGTGTCTTTTTCACAATAATGCTTATAGATTGTACTGTACAGACATCTGTCTTCTATTAGTCCTCCCTTTTGCAAAAAAAAAAAAAAGCACAGTTCCCAAATGTCAAACTATTCCTTCTGCTTTATTCACACAAGCATGCATAATCACAAATCAGATGCACAAGTGTAGTAGCAGGATTGAAGAACTTACTTGATGTTGTCCAGACACCCAGAGTCTGGTTTGAGAATGGCCGTATGATGGAACATCTTATAAAGAGCGATGCCGAGGAAGATTACATTCAGCTGAAACACACAGACATAAAATCACACAAGGTAATTTTCTGCAGCAAGTAGCCTAATTAAAGACACAATGTCACCACAGCACTCACACAAAGAGTGATTCTTTATTTGCCTCTTCAACAGTAATTGGCTTAGGGACACCCTATCAGGCCCTCAATCAACAAGCCTTTATGTTCTCAAAATACAGCAGCTTGAACATCAGGGAAAATTTCAGCAGTTCGGGATCATTGTAACAATGGTAACCCAATTCTCATAGATGTGTTCTGTTCTATTGGAGTACTAATGCATAAAGAGGGTGGTTTAATAATGACTGTCTGAAGCGATACACTGGGTCTCAGAAGCTGTATACATTACCACTAGGTGTGGTGTCATAACAGTGCAGTCCCACCTGAACTGCTCCCCACATGTACATCCTGCAAGATCTGTGATAGCCTGCCTGACATTTCAAAAATGAGTACAGTGGATTGGTTCACAGGCTACTGGGAATACGTCTCATTGCTTTAAATGTCTTTGTATGTGTGTCTGCTTGATCATCAAACTCTATTCCTGTTGTAGTTTACTTGTTCGAGATAGGATGCCTGTTCCTGCTTCTCTGAACATTTTGATGACTGATGAAACATCAATCATTGGCATTGCTCAAACTTCCCGGGAGACTCTGTTCTCCAGTTTAATGTTCAATTTGGTGGCAAAGCAATAAAACAGCTAGATCAGGAGGAAAAACAGCACACAAATGAGTGCCTAATAGCAACATAACCTTGCTGAGTTTTTATCATAATCTGTGTGACGCACGGCGGCTTGCTCTCCATATCCCCTTCGAAGATTTCCAGGTTGCAGGAGTACGTGCCCGCCTGAGAGTTAATCCATGAATGGGAGTTATTAAGTTGACATATAGAGTTGCTTCCACTTTTACTTGCACTTCTGAGGAGCTCAGGCAAGCCTTGTAGGAGATTAACAAATACCTTAATGTGAGCCATCACTGCTGCACGAACATCTATAGATCTACCTACTCATAGATGAAGTGCTAAGTCAAGGGTGTGTGAGTATCCACGTGTGTCCATCTCACCATAATGATGAGTGTAGCAGGGCCTATGAAGCTCCAGATAAAGTAAGTATCCAATCGCAGCCAGCACCTAGAGACAGGGAGAGACGGAGACAGAGAGAGACGTCACGCACGAGGGACGCTGGGAAGAATAAAGGGGTTAAAAAAACATGTTCTTTAGATGGATGTAGGGTAGCAATCAGAGGATAGGACATGCATCACGGTTTCACACATATAATCACTGACAGGACGCAAGCTGGAGGAAAAAAATAGGAGCACATTATGACACGCAGTATATCAAATGCATCACGACAGAGCGAGGACAAAACAGAACTGGGGTGGATGTAAAAAGTGAAAGAGATGAAGAACAGGAAGAAAGGTGTTGCAAGATGGAGGAAAATAGCCTATACACACACCTCGAACATACATCACACACAGAGGGGGGAGACAGCGAGGGATAAGCACCTGTGATAAATAAAGCTTTACTTCTCCCTAAGGGCACAGATATATGACATGGCCACATCCTGCAGTCGCAAAAATATGACATGACTGTGTTCATTTGAATACTGAGTTATGGATGCAGACCTCATACGAGGCTATTTATGGAGTCTGCGGATGGCTGTGTTGAGGTTAAAGAAGAAAGGAGGGACACAAGTGCATGCACATTCAGTGTGTATATGCACACAAGCACACTTTCAGAAGACACGCATGAACATATAACCACAAACACACACACACACATACAATCATTTTGGACCACAAGGTTAGGATTGGTTGTAAAAGATATACTGCTGTATGCAAAATTATATAACCCCAAAACACCTTGACTCATCAACTGCAGCAAGCAGGGGAAGGAGAAGAAGAAAAAAAGAGTGCCCTCCACTGAGGTCAGACCCAACTAGTTGCCGAAAAAGGTGCCAGAGAAAAACGGCTGGAGCAAAATGGCCAACTGATTCATGACCAGCTGCTTTTGAATTATTAATCTTTCAATTTCCACCACATTAGAGAACCCTCCATTATGGGTCCCTGACTGTGTCACAGTATCCTCCATTAGGGCTCCTTTGCTAACTCGTAGCCACCTTCATTACGGTACATGAATGAGACTCAGTGCCACTGGCTACTGTGAAGAAGAACAGTCTGTGTTACGTGACAAGGTGACACAGCAGGAATGGCAGATGATATTTTCAAAGGTTTTGTCTCAATGTGTTATGTCAAAAATGATACACAGTGTCATTTTCAAGCCTGGGCTGATAAATGGATCGTGTAAGTTCGTTTCTGCTTTTTAAAAATTTCCAATTTCATTTACTTTTCAGATCCACAAGGCCCATGGGGCACGAGGACATGACGAGCAAGAGCATTAATGGCCTGGATGCAACATTACAAAAGAAAATATTGAAAATATTATATTCATGCATTTATTTTTGGTTATGTGCACCTTTTACATATAAGCTCTGCTTCATTGTCCCAAAATATTTCACATCATTTTGCATTTAAAGTCACAGCAGTTGTCTCAGGTCCTTTACGACACTCTGTTTGTGATTATTCACCCAAAGCTTGGCACTGAGACTCTCATGTTTTAATGATCATCAGGCAATGAAATATTGATCTAAGTGGCATGAGGACTGGTGTGGCTTGATGGTTAAACACTGCTAAATTCAACCCTTCCCTCGTCTTTCAGAGCTGGTCGAGTAGAGTGTAGCTTGTGGAAAGCTGCAATGTCAGAACGACAAAAGGTCCCCAAATGACCAGCGACTGGGAGCATTTTAGAAGGTGAATCATTTATATCTATAACCACACGTCATTTTTCACCCTCAACACGGAGCGACTCATTTATAAGCAGCTGAGGGATGAAACACCTCTGAAGCTGTAGCCTTTCAGTGCAAAGTCCACATTGTTAGTGTTTAGTCTTATGATTTGAATGGAGAACAGGTTATGAACATGACTGTGCCTTATATATATTATATATGCAATATACATTTCATATGCATATGTACTTAATAATTAGAATGTTGGCCTCTTTTCAGAGTCAAAGCATGAATGAAGTGTGCAGGTGAAACTCTTACGTTCACTCTCTTTGAATCTGTAGTTTGTGTATTAAGCCTGTAATGAGATGCTGCCTGTCCTTTCTTGGATTCATCCTTTTTCTAGGGTTATACAAGTCAAGCATGCACAAATACGTTACCTTGTGCTTTTAATGTATGTGCTTATCTTCCACTACTCTTCTCCAGAGAAGCTGGTTTTATTTTAATGCGCAAGCGTAAGCCAGTGTGGATGTGTGAACATCCTGACACACAACTCCATCTTTTCCTATCCCATCCCTCCATTCTCACACTTAAAGCAGTTTTTTTTCTCCCTCGGCATACTCCACTGTACACCCCCTCCTTCTGCCCCGCCTGTTAAATCCTTCCATATTCACACATTGTTGCTGCCATGCTCATGCAGGCACTCTGTGGTGCATCCTCCCCCTGCGTGTCCCCAATACTTCTCTACCACTCTCCATCCTTCTTTGCCTCTCTCTCTCCACTCGTTCTCTCTGTATTGACTCTTCAGAAGTGCCACAGCTTGTTGAGTCCACTGTGGCAAACGCAGCCAAAATGACAGCAGGCACTCCAGCCTCCCTCCCTTTCCCTCCCTTGCCCCGTCATCCATCCTTCCTTCATGCATTCTTCAGCAGCATCCTTACACTCGGTCGGTGCCGTAGCTCCTATAGTCCACAGCAGCGGAGACGGCCACTATGACAGCAGGTACTCCATATCCTGCCAGGTAGAAGTACTTAGTCCTGGAGTGTTCGCTCTCAAACACCTCTACCAGCATGATGTAGAGCTGTACCCCTTCCAGGAACATCCAGGTGAACGCTGCCAAGAAGAAGAAATGGAGCAGGGCCGCAAAGACTGCGCAGACAATCTGGTGAGGCAAATAAAGGATTGAGAGGGTTTAAAAATACAGTAACATTAAACTCAGGAAATATTTATTGTGCTGGACACTTGCACTGATGAGGCAGAAAAATAAAGATGCAAACAGTACAGGCAGTAAGGGTATGAGTCAGATTTAGAAAGCAATAATGTATCATATTCAGTTAAGGAAGAAAACGTAAGTGATTAAATATTGGACAGCCACTGCTTGAACAGGTAAGGCAGGGGATAGAATAAGGCAACGTGAAATAGAAGTCACAATCATAGTGTACTATGACAGAAATTTCAGGTGGCAGAATGACAAAAAAAGTAAAAAATCACTTCAAAATAGCAATATTATTGGAGACCCCCCCTCGCACTTCACTCACAGTCTACAATCTACAAGTCGTCCAGGAAGATAAATGAGAAAATATAAGTGACATGTTAGCGCCGCAGCCCGTGCTGATTGACCACATTTCAAAGAGATGTAGCGAAGCACTTTCAAAGGGGGCTGACAATGAGTTGTTGAGGAGGGCGAATTACTTGCCAGCGCTGTTGAAAATACAGTATGATTTTTGTCAATGCCAAAGATGAACAAAATAAGTGGAACTGCTGCAAAAATGACTCAGCATCTTGGTTTGAAAGAGACAAATGAAAAATCACATAAAAGTTGACAGATTTCGGAGCTTGAAAAAGAAAAAAAAGCTGTGAAAACATACAGCTTTTTTACGCTTTTACCAATGCAGAACTAAATGTTTTACATACGATAAACACTGTGCTTGTTAACATACTTCCTAGAGAATTGCAATTATCAAACACAAAACACAAATTAGAACGTTTTGCACCTACCAGAACTAACCCTGCGTTTTATACACTGAAAGTGAGTAAATCTATTTTAAATGACGTGCCAGTGAACAGTGACGGACGAAAGACATGTAAGTCTTAGAGTGATAGATGAAAACCCTGCGAGAGACTCTGCTCATTCCAAAGAAGAGAAGAAAAAACACAGAGGTGCAAAGAATGTGAATAAAAAAACAAAAGCCAGGGATCAAACCTAAAAAGACATTAATAATTTTGGCAATTCGATGGCAAAGAAAGAGTGTTGATTAAGAAAAAGAAAGGTGCAAAACGAATGAGCGCTGAAACTTGGTCAATCATGCCAATGTTCTAATCTAAAGAGTCACTCCTAAATCACTCAGTGGAAGCGCTAACAGACAGACTTTTATAATAGAGGAGTTTGCAACGAGAGACAATTACCTAATGTCTGAGAGACAATGAGTTTAGGGGGTGAGGGAGTCACTCATTTCCATTTCTGATGATCGCAGAGTGTAGCTTTCACAGGCAAAGGCGCACACATGCATGCACACACAGGTAGAAAAAAAAAGTGGCTGCTTATGCAAAGTCATTTAGTTTTCCTGCTGGAATTACTGGATTAACCGGCTTCGAGCTAAGTGATGCTGAAGATGTTAATGGAGGTCACGAATAGTCACCGGTAATTAACGGGAGAACAACACGCAAATACAGCAGCACACATACATGCAAAAAAAAAAAAAAAAACCCCCACAAAAACAAAACAACATGATCCCTCCCACGCAAACACACAGACAAAGAGAAATGCACAAGCGCCACGATCAAAACGCGCTCTCCATCCAATTTGCTTTGTCTCTTCATTTACAGTGAGAAGGTTTTCTCACTGAAAGCTCAGCAGGATGCAAATGCTTCAAGGTGTTCTGAGGCTTCTTGTATACTATGGGGGAGGTAAAGGATACAGCCTTGAGCCTTAACTTACAGAGAGAAGTGGTGAAAAAGCTCGTCCTTTCCTGTGTGTTGATTATTATTTAGGTGTCCTTGTGCAGAGATAATAAAGGCGAGAATCTCCTCTCAGAATCTGTCCCATAAGATTTGTGTGCAAAACGCTTGTACCCAAGTGAGGTTTAAAGTTCTAATCCATGACTGGCGTACTGAATGCGGACCATATGGATTATACATCTTGGGCTATGATTGGAATGCACACCATGTGGATCCCCCACTGTTGAGCCAAAAAACTGCACTGCACTGAATTCCTTCAGGGATAGAGTTTGATTGGTTGCTTAAGTGATACGCAAAGAAAATGCTTCGCAAATTGTGTCTCATGATTTTAAAAAGCCTCCACGCTCTCGAGGGAAGTGCTATTTGTTCTGAGTGTCACAAGGACTTGTGCAGTTAATGATGCATTTGTTGTTCTGAAAATGCACATTTCTATTCCACATGCAGAAAAACACAATGATGTTGCAAATGACACTACATTTGACAAACGTACCACTGCGACCAATTAGGCTAGAGCTACCATTACGCCTGTGGAGAGTAGAACCATTCTTAAAATAGTATATAGAGCATATTCAATAAGTTAGCACTTTTGCCCACAAAGATGTGACTTCATGAAAAACTTCTATATAAATGTTTACCTGGATCGCAGGAATCTGTTTAAAATAATTCCCAGCTTTGCTCTAGATGTTTCACTTGGACTAGCCTGTCTCTGAGCCTGGTCGAGAGCAGATAACTGCTAACTAGTCAGTAATGCTTAGGTTTAATCTTACTAAACACATCTATAATAATGAGATAATTAGTAATAACTAAAATTATAATATATTCTATCTTATATTGTACATAAATTCTGCTTCACTCAGTCTCAGGGGTATTTGACAAATACGAATTGCCTACTTATAAGGAGGGAAAATAAAGAAAATACATAACACCACTTGACCAGAACTTTCAGTGTCAAGAGTAATTTTTTCAAAATAGCCATCTTTAATGGTCTTTATTTTACCTTGCTTTTGTACAAGGTAACTCTACTGTTGGGTACTGATGTATACAGACTGAGGTCACAGCTGAAATCCAACCGCACTGAGGTGTTAATCGAAAGCAGTCTGAACTCATATTCACAAATCGGCCTCATATGAGCTGCATAAGGTTTAACGCATTATATGGCAGATCTTTGTGGGCGCTCTTTGCATTGTAAATCATGGCTGACTATGAATGGATTGCAAAGCAGGCAAATTAGGTTCTTTTTACATACGCACAAGTACGTACATGATTTTGATGATGGGATTACTTAACATGTTGAAGAAAAAATAAATACATTTAATTTTGCAAATTCTATTACATAGAATAGTAAGAATATTGTTTTGTTTCACAATCACTATGAGAAACGACGGCTTTGATTTATTCCAAAGATCACTGTTACTGTACAACATCTCCTGTTTTATTCAGTAGTAGCACAAGTGTGGTAAACCACTGACACAAAGTTAATAAACAGTCTGATGATTTGTGGTATTGGTCAGTGGATAGTTATGCCAACATGTGCCGTGGACTTGTCTGAATTTATGGTCAAAGTAATGTTCTTCCATACGCCGCGTATACTGCACACACTCGCATAAGCTCACACAGGGGAACTGGACCCTCACCGGCTGGTCGGCCTTGTTGATCCCATACAGAAACAGAGACTCAGCGATGAAGAGGCTGATGCAGAGGTTCTTGTGAATGGTGTTGCGATCGCTCTGAAGCCCTCTGAAGAAGCAGAAGGTGAAGATGCAGATAAGCAGGCAAACCAGTGACAACAGGATGCCCACCCACGTGATGACATCCAGGAGCACGTCGTGCATGCTGTCTGTTTTCTGTGAAATGTGCAAACAGAGAGACAAGTTTAAGTTGGTAATTCAATAATAACAATGTAATTTACAGCTACTATAGCTATGCATAGCCTTGGTATGCTAACATCATACATGAGTCATACTGTTGTAAGGTGAAACAAACTGTAGGAGCAGACAGTTAAATCTGTGTGTCGTTGAGCGTTCAGGGCCACAGCGTTACGCTGTGTTGCACAGGTGTGCTGGCTCTATCCATCAGTGTCCTGCAAGCTGGCAGGTAGAGCAATGTTCAACCTAGCACTGTTGTGATGGATCTACTGCTCAGACCCTCACACTGCGTTCACACAGAGCAGCCGAGCTGGCTCTGACCATGACCCCTTTGGAAGTAACACACATCCTAGCCCACGGGGAGGGAATAGGTGTCGCGCAATATCCAGAGTTACAAGGGCTGATTTGTGTAAAGAAACTTAACATAACAAAAGAGAGAGAGAGACAAAAAGTACTTATCCCACACATGGCGGGAGAATAATGCTTTTATTAACCACCCACTAAGGCTCATGGATATCTAAAAAAACCCAAAACAAAACCAAAATCTGAAAACAAAAACATGTTTTCACTGTCTGATCAGTCAAGCATCACTTTTAGAATGAAAATAAGACCTGAAGCTTATTTTTGTATCTGCTTTAGTAATCCAGAACTCTGAGATGTTTGAAGTACATTTTCCCCCTCAAATCAATGTCATCATGCAGCTTGACAAATCAATTGTAAAGATTTTCCCTGCCAACGTGGTTATTCAGACTCCAAAGATTCATAATTTACTTTTCAGATGTTGTGGTCTTTCTCTCTTCTTTTCTTTCTCTCCTTCTATTTTCAGAATATGTTGACCAACCACTGCTAATCAAATAATAAATAACTGACCCATAGATATTGCCCACCCCCTTCTGGCATGCACAAGCAGAGAAAAATGCCTACCTTGACCTCCACGTGGGCCATGAGCACTGCAAAGCTGGTAAGGTGGGTGCAGGAGCAGCTGGTGTGTGTACGATTGGTGGCCAGCAGACGACAGTCCTGCGTAGACCAGAATCCCGTCATGGTGCGCTTGGAGTAGCTCCAGAATGAACAGTTGGGATTGAAATTCTTTTCTGAATGCTGGAAGATGAGAGAGAGAGAAAGAGAGGCAGAGTGTGATTGAGAGAAACCCAGACAGACAGGAAGGAACTGAGAGACAAAAAAGCAGGAGGGTTGGGAGAACACGGGGACGCAGAATAGATACTCGGTCATGGGTAGGTGGGAGGCAGAAAGCATGGAGTGGTCGGTGAGCCAAAAAAAGTGAGAAACTGGTAGGAGGAATTGGTGGAAAAAGGATGTAGAGGAAGAAACACAGAGACAGAGTCAAATACACACAGCAACAAAACAACAAACAGAAGGGACAGAATGTGAGATTGCAGCAACAAATAAACATAGAGGCATGAGAGGAGGTGACAGAGCTGCGTCCATGCTTGTTGTGTGAGATTCTGGAGTGTAGGAGCTGTTTGTGTTGTGTAAACTGATGAAGCTGTGTGCGTTGGGTTGGTAAAGCTACTTTCAAAAAGAGCAAGAGAAACAGTGAGGATTTTTGTTTTTTACTGCCAACTAGCTGGGTCACCAACTGGATAAGTATTTGCTTTTTGGATGCGAAACACAAAATAAAACCGTGTTACTGACCACCCTAATTCATACTTATGAAATTCTTATAAAGTTATGTGGAATTCAGTCTGCAGTAATTGCTAATGTTATGATTTGGTCATTTGGGGCAAGTCAACGCGAGTCGAGCCAAGTTAGTACACAAGTGATCAAAAATGGCTGCAAGACATTTTGATGTTTGAACATCATCCCGCAATGACACAGAAACAACGTTTTAATATTTGAGCCTTTCCAGGGTTTCTATACATCATGTTTTTGTCTGAATCAGGCCCCAGTTTCATGCCTTATGTCTTTTGCTCTGGTTACTACTACTATTACTGCTACTATATACTGTCATTAAATGCAGGAAGTTTGGACCCAAATGCATACTGCAGAGGTGAACTAGAGGTTAATAAAAAAACTAGCCTTTATTCAAACTATTTTAGTCATATAGTCAGGGCTGGATCAGCTAACCCTGAGTCACAGACCCAGGAACATGCAATATGCAATGATTTAATACGGAAGTCTGAAAACAACAAGTTTTCTTCAGTTCTTTTTAGACTTCCCTCACTTTCTGTGGAATTATGCACTAAACTAAACTAAAGTACCGAACTAGATCTCTTTTTGGCTTCATAAGTGCCATAACTCTTTGTTTTGTCTACAGATTCAACGAGGAGCTGGTACATTACTCTGAGATTTTGGTCCATGCTGACATCACAGCATCATCCAGTCGCTGCGGATTTGTCATCTGCACATCCATTATTCAAAGCTCTGAAAGGCGCTGGAGTAAAATCTGGTGATTGTGGATTGTCGTGCTCAAGAAATTAGTTTGAGGTGATTTGAGTTTTGTAACAAAGCGTGTTACCTTGCTGGAAGCAGTGATCAGAAGATGAGTACACTGTGGTCATGAAGGGATGGATGTAGTCAGCAACAATACTCAGTTAGGCTGTGGCATTTAAAATGATGCTCAACTGGAGCTAAGGGGGGCTAAAGTGTGCAAGAAATGATCCCCCACACAATTACATCACCGCTAGCCTGAACCGCTGATACAAGGCAGGATGCATTTTATGTTGCTTACACCAACCCATACTATCTAAATGTACTGGCAGAAATTGACATTTGGCAATATTTTCACAGTGTTCTCTTATCCAATTTTGCCTGAGCCTGTGTTTTTGTGTTCTCAGCTGACAGGTGTGGTGTTCTTCTGTTGCTGTAGCAGCAGGACATTTTCACCCAGAGAATTGCTGCTTACTGGATATTTTCTCCTTTTTGGACCTTTGTCTGTGAACTCTAGTGATGGCTATGTGGAGAAATCCCAGTAGATCAGCAGTTTCTGAAATTCTCAGAAGCCCGCCTGGCACCAACAGCCGTGCCACGTTCAACGTCTAAGTCACTTTTCTTCTGCTCCATTCTGATGTTCAGTTTGAACCGCAGCAGACCGGCTTGATCAAACCATGTAACCGGCTCATTAGATATTTGCGTTAATGAGCAGCTAGACAAGTGGTCCTGATAAAGCATCCAGGGAATATTTTTGATTCCTCTTTTAAAGCCTAACCTGCACATATCCATTTTATACTCTTGTTACCTGTACCTTTCAGCAAGTATGTTGTTGACCTCACCTACTTGCTGAGTGGCTGTTGTTCCTCATTGCTCATCTTTTCACTCTTCACTTTCCTCTTACCCCAACTGATAAAGGCAGACAGCCGCCCACCCTAAGTCTGGTTCTGTCGCAGGTTTCTTCCTGCTAAAAATATTTCTTTTTTTCCTCCCATATTGGAGAACTGCAGGGTCTCTCTGCACATATTGTCAGTCTCGACCTTAAAATGACCTTTAAATGACGTATGATTTGGCATTACATGAATAAAGTAGAATTGACTGGAAATAAATCTTTTCTTTTTTTTTAATTGCTTAAGTCTGTAGGTTGAAGCAAACATTACTCAAATCGGAGTAAGTAGTCAATTTTCCGGTAAGTGTTTCCAGCTGTGGTCAGTCAGAATTTACAGCACCAGAACACTATACATGCGAAGCTTTGATGGCGTAAACTACATTTCTCATATTGTTTCCTATAAAGCAACACTTTTTGGCACAACAGTGGATTTCTATGGAACAGAGGAATTAAGATTTTAAACTTCTGGCTACAAACCTTCAATTTCTAGCTGCTTTTGGTCTTTTGTGAAATCTTTTTTTTTTAACTCACCTGTAGATGTTTGACAGTGAAGACCACAGGCTCTGACAGGTAAACCTTATTGCTGTCCTTGTTAATGGATGCGGTGATGACCGGGGAGTTGACGATAACAGAGTAATTAGGATAGATGGCATCGCTGCTCAGTCTGACGCTGGCGTTCTCCGTGGAGAGGTAGGAGCCCAAGTTCTTGTACATGACAAACACCATCCTGATCTCACCTGTACGAAAGGGACACGAATAGTGCACTCGATAATTGTTGTAAAGCAATGATGACAGAAATTTGACACTTCAAGTGGGTGAGAAAAGAAGATTGAGAGGCACAGAGAGACAGAGATCACAGTGAGAGTAAGTGCAAGGAGGAAAACATGCGATTTCTCTGCTACCATTTCTGCCATGCTGTTTCAGAGTGCTGGCTGACAGCTGGATGGAGTTTCCGTGTTGTTCCGACTGAGGGAATGTCAGGTCTGCGAGGTTCCCATCCGTGCTCAGCCTGGCTACTTCCAGCACTGAAATACGTACACACAAGCACACATGCACACAAAACACGCACGCCCTAATGGTAAGTTATAGCATAGCGCATTACATCAGATTTGTTTTGCAGACTCTTGTAATAACCATGTTTTCTCACTAAGTGCTTCACAGCACAGCACTGGCATGAGTCCCGAAACAGTTTCAAGCTTCTCCTAAACATATCAAAGTGAAATAATGTACATTTTTTCCCCTGCTAAAATAGGTAACAATGTCTCCAGGCAACTGCTCCAGCACTTTGAGGTAGATTATCCGGCCTCCTCTGTATTGTAGGAATTATTTCAGCGTCCAGGTTCGTTAGCACATTCCTGATTACAGCTGTGTAATGTATTAGATAAAGTTTCTAATTAAGAACTAATTATACCTTTGGTGTGTTGCTATCTTGTGTTTCTGAGCAAATTGGTGATTTAGACTGATGCTTTCATGGTAAAAGAAAAAAAAAAGTCCTACCTCTCTGATCAAATAAACAACACAAGGACATCTCTGATGGAGATGAAGGTAAAAATGGGAGGCAGGGTGGGATAAAAGGTGGAAAAGGCAGACAGACGAAGAGGTCGTGGAGGAGTGGTTTAGAGAGGTAAAAAAGAGGGTAATCAGAGGAGCCGAATGGATGAGATAAGCAGATACACTTAAAGGAGAGGACTGGAGTAGAAATAGAAAGAAGACTATGTTCTCTCTCAGGCATATGATAGATAAGGCTTTACAGACAAGAGATACTAACGTATAGAAACGAGCAAATGGAGGATGAGTGAGGAAGATGGACATGAGCATAGACGTGGGTATGCATAAAGAAAGAGGAACATTGGCTGAGACACCCCCCACCCCCACCACCACTTCCACATGAGCTACGTCGACCCACCCACACGCATGCATACACATGTACACACGCATCCACACCCACACACATCAGCGGGGTATCAAAACACGCTGAGTCTAATCTAATTAAAGCATCCTTGTCAAGACAATCCTCCTCCTAAGAAACACACTTGTTCATTATCGTTATCACACGCGCACGCTGTTACCGCTGCGTTATCCTTTCAAATCACTGTTTTGGTTCTAATAATAACACTATTTATTCATCTGCTCAATACAGTGGCTCATAGTCGCACGCACACAATCTAACACAATAATATCACTTACAGTAGCTGCTGTGGCTCCTTTAAAATGCGTCAAATAATTTATTCTTGTCACTCACTCTCATCTCAAAGACTTGAGAAAAGAAAAAAAAAGGAGGAGGGAGCTTAAAAAGTGCACGGGAGAGAGCGGAGGAGAAAAGACTCAGAGAGAGCAGTGAGGATGAAGGGAGAGAACGAGAGAAATGACAGGCTGGTTATGAATAAAGGGGAGAGATAATCATGGTGGATCTGCCCACTGGATTAGCTGCGAGGGAAGATTAACAACACAAAAAAAGCAGAAATTTTGCAGGAAAAAGATCACTTCCTGTTTTTTAAGTTCCTCGGAGAGGCAGTAGCCTACGTCTCCACGACTGTTTACGTAATCACATTTATTTAGTGTGATCAGGAGAGAAAGGAAACACTGGAGGAGATGCAAGTTTGAAATTATGCAAGGTGAAACTGTGTAGGATGTCAGTTGTTGAAATGGACTGTTGTACTTAAACTTAAGCGAGAACATAAAGTCGTGTTGTGAGGAGTGACTTTGAGGAATCTTAACGGTCTTTGATTGGAAATGCAGTGATTTTATCATCATTATCTGTGACTGAAATAGCTGTAATTTCATTGCCTACTGATGTGAAAGTGAGCAAAAAGACCCCTCAGAGCATCATTTGACATTCCACCACCGCCGCCGCCCTCAAGCACGCGCTCATCCAGTCTTCCTTCTTATTTCGTTATCATCTTTATTTCTTCCTCCTCCATGGCTTTTTATCTCTGACTGAGTAACATACAGACTTGGTGAATGTTGGTAATGGGGGAATGGTGCGGAGGAAATGTTAAAAAAAATGAAATTGGGTGGAGGGGCGGGGGAGTGTAAACAAGAGGATAACCAAGGGAAACATAACAGATTGCAACTCGCTGATCTGAGCAAAGATGAAACGATGCCTCTAAGTACATACTCCATGTAAAGAAATGAAAATCAAAAAAATTTTTTACTCTCCATTAAAACGCGCTTATTCCAAGGTTTGATAATGAGATAAGAGAAAAGAATATGAGAGAAAAAGAGAAGAGAAAGGGGGAAAGTGATGGACACAATGCTATAATAACTATCTGTGTTCTGTTTTTGTCAATTCTGTCTGCAAGTTCAGCAAAGAAAAATATATGCAAACCAATTCATCTCTGCATTGAAGTCAATATTTTTCAATGAGATTTTCACGTTGATGTCTTCACCATGACCTAAAGCTAGCATGCAAAGCTGTATGCATTCTGTTGTACATGATGCTCTGTATCAAAATATTTAGACATTCAAAAATATATTTAATCTCTTGCAAAGGAAATGCATACTAGGAGCTTTAGCAGCCCAACAGGTATAAGATTGTAGTGCCCTTTTGTGCACAGAATTGTAATTGCTTTGCTGGAATTAATAATATATGTGTACACAGTCTACTTACAGTATTAAGAGGATTAAGCACTATAACAGTGGGATCAGTGTAACAGGTTGTTATGCTTAGTCCAGTCACATAGTCACATATCAGTGATACCATTTTGAGTCTTCAAGGAGTCCCTCAACACTCAGTGTCCCAAAATTCTGACACAAAATTCAGTGTTGTTTAAGCACTTTTTTAGCATAATGGCTACTATCCTAGAAAAAGAAAGTGTGCACTGTTGTTTACCCTTTTTATCACTGCAGAAAGCAGTACTTCAGAGTTCATATACTATGTGATATGTTTATGTTTAGCACATTTATTGACTGTAAAGCCTGCCATGTTTTTTTATTACGTGTTTTTTGTTTGTTTTCTGTGATCGGACATTTACAGAATAGAAACCTAATGTTATTAGATTAATATTTTTTTTCCTTTGACTGTATTAATTCACATCAACATTAACTTGTTCAAGTATTCATGCAATCTTTTGTCTCAAAACTCTAAGAAATAACACACATTTTGTTAACATCAGTCAGCCAAAACATCAAAACCTGGATGCAAACAGACAGGTGAAGTGAATAATCTGCCACCTTGTTAAAATACTACTCTGGCTATTCTCCTCTGGTATTAGCAAGGCATTTTTGCTCTAAGAACCTTGGGCCCTGATAATTAGATTTTATGATTTTTTATTTTCATACGTACAACTACTGTTACAAAGGAAATGTTCTGCAGTGGCCATGATACTCCATGATACACAGAAGGACAGTGCAACACAACAAATCACAAAAACTGCTCAGCAACAGAGCCGCAGTCATTGTCAAACATCCCAAATCACAATACAACAGCATCACAGCAATCCGCAGGGCCCAACGGATCTGCTGCGAACATCCCAGCAGATCGCAGCTGTATCCATGCCCCGAAGGGGCCGAACTGTTTTGGCAGTATAAGAGCAAACAAGGATGTGGTTTTTATGTCATAGCTGAACAGTATACGTTCATTAAGTGAAGGAAGATGCCATCTTTTGACATAATGTGAAGCTAGATACTAAGCTTTGCCTCTAATCTGTATTATGAAACATAGATCTCAGACATTGGGTTTGATAATGCCTGCTGTCAATGTTGCCTCTTACTATGATATTACATCATGTTCTTAGATCTTCAGCAGACTGAGCTCTTTCATGTTATTATAAGTTCTGCAAGAGGAAAAAACAAAAAAGAAGAAAAAACAGTGAAATCTAACAATTTCTTTCTAAAAAAAAAAAAAACAAGTTATTTCTTCTAAATACTTTGTATTTAGGTAAAGACGATGAGCAAATACTTTTGTTCCAGTCAAATCCTGCTTTGACCTTGTCCAAGCACCAAAACCTAAGACTTGACTGGCTCCCTCAACTCTTATGACCCACTGTAAGAGTTGGAGGTCTGACTACAGGCTATCTCAATCGTCAGCGCTCACAAGGTCCAACTGAGTTTAGAGGACAGGAAGGATCCTAACAATGTACTCACGGATGTAGTCATTAGTCTCCTGCACAGTGTCAGTCTTCAGGAGGTTGTCAGCCAACATAAAAGCCCCGGTCTCCACGGTGTCGAGGAGCAGGGTAGCCGAATGAAGCTGCTCACTGGTGGGCAGTTCTCGCCACGCTTTCTCAGCTTTTGGATGCAACAAATTATTCACGGTCTCCACCATGGCCTGGGGCAGCAGCAGAGACACAGAGGTCACAAAGAGGAAATGAACATATTTACCACTTATTTATTAAAGGAATGCAAATCCACTCGTAGTGCAAATAACACTGCTACACACCAACTACTGAAGTCAGCTGAATGCATCAGCGAGAATGCAGTTGATTTTCATTTATCATGTTAATAAATCATGATAATCAAGACCAAAAAACTGTTAGCAATGCAAATGTGGCATTCCCATGCAGACACAACAAAGACAAAAACAGTTATTAAATCTAAAGTACATCTTCAAAGTTGAACTCTACACTTTTTAATGTTTATTACACCCTTTTCTTCTCTTTGTGTGAGGATGCTGTGATAGAAAAGCCATCACAGATGTTATGAAAATCAAGCTAAGCTAATTAGCTGATTGCAATCACCATGTGTCGACACCCCCAAACCGGGTTCAGTTTCTTTCTCCCTTTCTGCATTTTTTTTTTTCACCCAAAGTCTTATCTTCAAGTTTGAAAACTTGTGCTTGAGGGTCTGAGAAGAAATTAGAGTTTTATCAGATAATGCCTGCTGGGTCATATCCAGCTGTGCAGAACGGGTTTGAATCCAAAAATATGACCAAATTAAACGGAAAAGTGTTGGCTCACATAGATGAAATGTTCCCCATAAAACAATGCTTATTTTGTCTCCAGCTCATACTTTTTTTTGTTATGCTTTTAAGAGTTCACCTCCTTATTTTCAGACATGAACGCCACACATACAGCGCAGACACGCACACACATCTTAGAAGACTCTGGGAGAGATAAAGAAACAAAAGAGAAAAGAGAGCTGGAGCAGAGGTGGATAGGAAGGGGAGGGCCATGTGAGAGTGATAAAACAGTCCAGTGAGTCCATGGTGACAGGCCTCCACTGGGAACAAGAGAGGTGGAAAAGCGACTACGGGTACTATCAAACACACACACCTCACACTCCGGTCTGTCTCTTTATTTTCTCTTTCGCTCGCTCTGTAAACCAGCCTTTCTGCAAAGAAACCCCTCGCTCTGCCTTCACTCTTTCAATGCTCCTCTCTCTTGAGAAGCGTGGATGGCAAAGTGGGAAAAGTAACACAGGTGCGATTATACAAGCTAAGGGGGACTTCAGCGGGGAATTGCAAGGGCAGGGAGGAAGAGTGAAAGACATCAGTTTATTGGCATTCACACATCCAGCGTTTGACTTCCTTTTTGTCCCTTTCACTCAGGGTTAAGGAGAAGTGAGGGAGCAGGAAGGAGGAGAGGAGACAGAAGCAGTAAACGATGTGTTTTGTGTGCGCGGTGGATAAGTAAAGCCTAAAGAAACAGTGGAGATGATGACTCATGCGAGTGTTGATGGCATGCGCTACAAAACACTTGCCTTTTTGAATTAAAACTAATCCTACCTGTTGTTTCTTTATCCACGTGTAGTTACAGTATATCTCACGCAAGAAAAACTGGTGCTTAGCCAACAAACTAATATGATAATATTATGTCCTCTTTTAGCACTAGCAGTTAATTAGCTGGGATGCATATTGAATGAGTTTGGGAGGGCTACATGTAAACAAGAACTAATTAATCCACTGCTTCGGCAAACAACCAGAATAAGCAGGAGAGGATATGCAGCACACACGCAAAACATACAAACCAGTATCCAAAAGAAAAAAAGTTGGTTCACTGTGTAAAACGCAAATAAAAACAGAATGTAATAATTTGCAGATCACTTCAAATCTGTATTTAATTTAAAGTAACACAAAGAGAACATGTTAAATATTGGAGCTGAAAACGTTTCATGATGTTCTTTTTAAAAAAATAAATACTCATTTTGAATGTCAACAACTAGTAAAAAAAAATGGACGAGAGCAAAAGAAGACAGGAAATGTGAAACATCTTGCAGCTGATCAGGTTTATGAGTAACACGATTAGGCAAAAAAAAGTGCCCTAGAGAATAAGACAGGATGTATTAAGACTTTTTTTTTTTTTAAGGGAAGGCCAATTCAGCAAAACAAAAACTTGAAAAATACAACAAAGGAGGATCTGAATCGTGAGGTAGCAGAAATAATTTATCAAGCAAGACAGGCAAACGTTTTATTTTCAAAGCAGGTACTGCTTTTGTCATTTCCCAAATGTTTACAGTGTTAAGAACAAGCGATTTAACAATGCTAAATTGGTGACACCAAATAAAAATTGAACCTATATATAACAAAAACTAAATACATTTTTTAGACTCAACCATTGTCACGCTGTCTTGCAAATCGTTTGATTCACATTGTGCACGTCATCTGTGTAAACCAGCAAATGTATTTCTATATCCACTCATTGATACTTTGACAAGAAACTACAAGCTTCAGTTCCTTTCAAAGAGAAATTTCTTAGTTATTTTGCCCATTAATTCCCATTAGTTATGAAATCCACATTTAAGACATTAAAGTATTAAAATCTGGTACCAACCAGATGGGGAAAAACACCAGCAGTCAACTAAATGATTATGATGCTGATTATAATCAAGCTAATACCGAGACGATTAACTCGTTGTCAGCAAGTAGTTCAATAATCAATGAATCATTCGAGCCATTTTTTGAAGCAAAACATTCTTTGGTTTCAGCTTTTCAGTTTTTCACACTTGTACACTTTTCTAACATTTTAAAATGTTATTAGTTTGTTAATTAAATGATTAATCTTAAAATTGTTGGATACTTGCAAATATCGACAGATAGACCCTTCAAACATCTCTCAGTGATTAGACTCTTCCTTTTTGGAGAGCATATCTAAAACAGCAGTGACAAAAATGTTAAAAATGCATGTGCATTGTGCAAACAAAAATCAGAAGCACTTCTATCTTACACTAAGCATTGTGGTCATAGCTAAAGCAGGAAGTTTTCTTTCCCGAGTGTATTCTTCCCGCTCCATCTGACTTCTTTTTAGGGATACTGCCATGATCTGCAACAAACTACCTTAGCATATCCATAGAAACGATATTTGAAATTTCATGCATCAATCCATCCATTTTCTTATTTAACCTCCTGAGACCCGAACTCTTTCATGGCATGCATTTTCAATTTCTCTTTGCTATTTGGGCTGATTGGGACCTGATGAATGTAAAAACAAAGAATTACCAGATTTTTTTTTTTTAACCTGATTTTGTCTCTGAGAAAAATGAGATCCACATATGAGGACATTCGTTTTATATTTTGATAGAACAGTGCCAGCATAATGTCCTCGTAAGTGGACATCAGGCCCTTGCAGAGCAAAATGTAGTATTTTGGTCTAGACAATCCAAAATGTGATGTCCACATATGTGGACGCCAGGTCCTAGGAGGTTAATAACTTTGTTAGTTATTTCTGTGATTGATTTTATACTTTGCTATTTACTTTTGCCTATTTGTATTATTTTCTATCGCATCTGTTGTTGGGTAAGAGTCGGGGTACACCCGGAACAGGCAGGGCGAGCACAGAGGAGTCAGTCACACTCACATTCACACATTCACACCGATTTAGAATCACAGATTAACCTCAGGATATCATTGGACTGTGGACGAAAGCCAGAATAGCTGGAGAGAACCCATGGAGGCACAGGTGAAAACATACCGTCCCCACAGAAAGGCCCCAGCTTGGATTTAAACCCATTACATTCTTGCTGTGAGGTGACAGTGCTAACCACCACACTGCTGTGCTGCCCCGGCAGCAAAACCATGCAATGAAGTTTGTTTACAATCAGAATTGTATGTGATCTGTGCTTTATGAGAAAAGGATTTTTAACTTCTTCAGCTGCCTTATTGTCGCATCGAGTGTGGGAACGTGTATGTGCATATCTCATAAATATATGGTGTAGAAACATATTAAAAGGGACTGAGATACATGCTGCATGTAACGTATGTGTTCTCATGGCTGTGTGTTCAGTTGAGTGTGTGCACAAGTAGCTAAGAGAAGACTTGTAGTGCATCATTCTGCTCCACTTGCTGTACAGTAGCCGAACAGGCAAAGAGAGATGCTCAGTGGAGAGGATGTCCTGTAGACATGGCAGATATGAATGCAATGGTGCAGCTTTTCATTCATTCACGCGACTGGTGCTTCTCCCAACCGCTCACTTTGATGTGTTTCAGATAACCCCATTTTTCTACTCTCATTAAACTTTCCATTGCTTTTTATTGAACTTTTGATTATCGTGCATTTTCAATTTCATATAATTTTTTTTTCAATGAAATTTAAATTTAATTTAATTCGCTGGCACCGAGATTATATCTGAAGAGGAGAAAGATAGGTAAGGAGAAGAAGGGGTATGATTTCCTTGAGGTCCAGACATCTCAGCATCAGAAAGTAAATTCAAGATAGAATATATGCTTGGGTGCGCGCGTGTGCGTGCGTGTGCGCGCCTGTAAGCTCTGGTGACATTTCTATCCGCACAAGTATAAGGACTTGAGGGCTAAAATAGAGACAGGTTTTTTTAGGGGTCTTCAAAGAGGGGAGAGACTCTGCAGAGACAGATAAGAGTGTCATTCGTTTGTGTGTGTATGAGTGAATGTGTGCGTGTGTGAGGCCACGTATTTGCAGGGTAGGCGAGTGCATGCGTGCACACATATACACAGCACGCATGCACGTACTCACATGCACACACCAGTAAATGGGGCAGAAGCGAAATGCTTTGAAGCGTTGGGGTAATCCAGCGTAAACAGCAGCAGCAAGACAGACTAGAGCTGGGTTGGTCTCCTACTCCGAGCTACACAAGGGGATCGCGAGCACACGCTCGAGCGCGTGCACGTGGATGTACAGTATGTGCACACTCATGCACGGTAACATGTAACCTGAAAGAGTTAGGACGTCTTGAAGCACGGAAAGATGTGAGACTAGAGAAAAGAATGGAATTTTTTTTTTTCCCCTTTTACTCGCTTGGATGAGCTCTGAGAAGGTACATGTTTTGAAAATGTTTTCATCAGAGAAGCAGGCTTATCTGTCAGTTGTTGTTTGAGTTTGTCTTCCCTGACAGGATGAGTTTGCAGCTAAATCAGGCTTTAAATTCACAGCATGCCATGTTCTGACCTGCCATCCATAAATGGAGGGCAAATTAGACATTGTCATTGAGCATCGCTGTCTTCTCACTGCCCCCTTCATTGTTTGGGGTTTGTTTGTTTTTCTCTTTTCCTCACATTGCTGTTTCTGTAACTCTCTTCTCTTTTTCTGTTTAATTTCTGGTCCCTCCTTCCCTGTTTCTCATTTCCCTTCTACCTTACAGACTCTACCCCCCTCCATCAATCCACCCTAAAGCATCAAAGCCTCTCCACACCACCAACTTCATCATGAATAAATTGCCAATTTAGTATACATGAAACGAGTCCCCAGTTCCCCAAACGAAGTGAGAGAGGAGGAGAGATGGAGTGTGAGAGTGAGAGCGGAGGAGAAAGAGCGACAGAGAGAGAAAGAAAAGGAGAGAGAGAATTCAATTATTTTTTGTCTCTATTAAGAACCCAAACCTCCTGCCCACTCTCCTCACTTGGCAATTAGTGCTGTAGATAATTAACGAGAAGAGGGCAGCACCACACCACATCCCTAATCACGCGCATTTCTATCTGGCAGAGTAAGGGACTGTTGGTATAATTTTGTTTCACATTACTAAGGCTAATTATATAATCGATCACTCCCAGCCCCCTGCAGAACCCAAAGTGTGTGGTGGTTTTGATTTTAACCTGTAACAAGTTGTCTAAATGGTGCCGCTCTCTGAAACATGGCACTTGCATTGGATTAAGGAGACACATCAAAAAGTCTGACGGTTGTGATGTGACAGCACAAGATCATTGTTGAAAATATATTTATATATTGCGTGTGCGTGCGTGTGTGAGTTGTGTGTGTCAGCTTGCATATAGTCCTAAACCATGTTCTGTGATGTGACATTGCTGACTGGTGCTGACGTTAAGACTTTTCAGGGGGAGAGTGGGAAAAAAGCCTGCATCAGGAGAAAAAGAGCTACCCCATCACTGGTGTGTGTGTGTGTGTGTGTGTGTGTGTGTGTGTGTGTGTGTGTGTGTGTGTGTTTGTCAGGGGTGCCGACAGAGAAAACGAGACTGCAGTCTATCTAGTCTACAGCTCATTGATGAGGAAGGTGGGGTCCTTTTGATGTTCTGAAAAGTGATTTTAGCTGACCAGAAACATGCCTAAATGATGGTAGATTGTTTTGTTAGCGGTGTCGGCCCATGGCGTCAACACATACAAACATCAATACAAGCAGACCAGCAATGAAAACATGAAATGAATACTGAGCCACAAACATAAAGCCTCTATTATTTCTAAGGCAGCGAGGCCGTGATCAACAAATATGCAACAGCATATCCATCATACTCAGTTCTTTCTTTCTGATGCACCAACACGGAGGGCATTTCATTGAATGGAGATGGATAGCGAGTCGTTTGGTTTCAGGCGGGCCTGTTTACAATTCTGCAGACAGAACTGCGAAATAGATGAGCTATTATTGATATTGATCATGGCCTCTTATCAGTACTATCGATTCTGACTGCAAGAAAAAAAAATTAAAGCTGAAAACAAAAGAATGTCAGCAAACCCTTTGAGGAGACTAAAACTTTACCGGGAGACACAAGTGGGTAGTCCCCCCTGTTAAAATGGCCGCCCTCTTCAAAGGGTTGGGTTGCAAACCACTGGACAAATGCTGCAGCGTAGAATTCGAATTCTACACTGCAGCATTGTAATGTGTGATCACATGTACACACGCAAACACAAAAGCTTGCTTGCTAGATTACATGCTGAGCGTTAAAAAGAAAAGAAAAACACGTGGGACTGTGGTGTGGCAAAGTAATCAACCATACCGGGAAACGGAAATACCTGTGCGAAAAACCTGCAGGACCTTTCTCTCTTCTGAAGCTGCAAATTCAAACAATTCAGCTGTTAGCGATATAACACCTCTCAATCATACACACGCGCAGACACACAAAGACAGTTACACCCACTTCATTACTACTGCATGAAAAAGGCTTTGATGGTTAAAATATATTGTTATTCTCCTCATTCGCCTCCTTTTGTCATTCCTTATACTCTAATTGCCTTTCATGCTTTTTCCCCTCTATTCTTCTTCTCCTCTTTTCTTCCAGATTGTCTTAATAACTTCCTCTGTTCCTCCATTTCTCTCCCCCCCCCCACTCATTCTGTGCATCTACTGTCAAGTGAATTGATGGCATTAATTACTGTGCCACTCGTGCGTCATTGGTCATATTTGATTTCCAAACAAATATTTGCATAATATGCTAGCGTATTACTCAGTTAGATTTATATGTAATTGGTCCATTATTGAAATCAGGAGGAACACTTTTCCTTTTCAATGGAGGGCTTTTTTCCTCTCTACATATCTAACAGTTAACAGGCCATTTGGTCAACAGCAAAACACAGATTAATTGATTCCACTTACACTTGCTGCAGTATGTATCGACTTCCCACATGTTAATGAATTACTTAGAGGAAGGAGAAGAGATTTAAAGTGTGTGATAGTGAGACAATAAGAGGTAAATGGGGAAAAGTGGAAGACAACACCGACAGAGGGACTCGGATGCTAAAGCTAAATAAAAAAGGCAGTGGCTGCCAAAGCGGTGTCAGCAGCTGTCAGTCCGGTGGCTAAACCCCGCCTATCACCGTTGACCTCAGCAGAGACAATCAAGAAACAGTCCAGCATCCACTCAATCAGTCAATTAGCCAGCCAAGCCAGCCAGTCAACCATTCCCCCGTGATTTAACACACTTTAATTGAATGCCTACATGCCTGCATGGCGCAGAACTAAATTTATCTACAGCCATAACAAAACAGATCCTTTGCATACTTGGAATCGAGTTTCCATTAACGTAATCCCAAAGTGAGCGCTCGAGCCTAATTGTCAACAACGTCTTCGGAGTTATAGCTCAAAGCCTGAAGTTCATTAGAACAACGAGCTACGGCGTAAAACATGTCCGTATGTTTTAATGAGAATAACTCCTCGTGGCCTGAGATGGACTTTTATTAAATTTGGGTCTTGCTCTGAAAAGAGTTCAGGAACTATGCCAAAGACTAAAAGCAGTTATCTATCAGCCATAATGTCGAGCAAAACTTGTTACAAAGAGCCACACACAGAAGAAGATAAAATACTGTCTAAAAGCAGCTATTTATCATTTTGAAATCTACAGCTTTATGTATGGCTCTTCATCAAACTCTGCATGGAGAGACTTTCCTAACCCCTGAGAATGAGCGTAAGGCAAAAATACTAACAACTGTTGCTTTTCATCTTACTGTTAACATCAAAGACTCCCTCTATTTGCTCCCCTCTCTCTGTCTCCCTCGCTCTCAATTCTCTTTCTCTTAATTTACTTGCCTTTAAACTGCAAAACCCCTCTATCCTAACGCTTGCAAGAAAACGTCGATTTTACTCACTCACTCGCCCTACATTTACCTCTTATTTCTCAAGACAGTACCTTGGTGAGGCTGCGGGCAGCACTGTCCTTGCCCCCAGGGGTGAGATTTCTGAGTTGGACGTCCAGCAGTTCGACTAGTTGGACCATGGCCCGCACTGTAGATGGCACATCGCCAGGATGCAGAAGTCCTTTGGTCTGCTCTGCCAGTTCCCTGGCTACAATTGCTGCCGTCTCGCCCGACCGAAGCTGCATGTCAGAGTGGATGACAGGGTATGGGAAAGTCACAATGTGCAAGAAGAGATGGATGGCAGTAAAGAAAAAAAAACAAATAAAACAAAAAGGTGAGAAGTAAAGGGAAAGTTTGAGAAAGTAGAAAAAGTTTGTGAGGGCATTACAAGTACACAGTGAGACAGAGGAAAAGGCAACAACGGATGGAGAAGTAACAGGAGGGGGGAGGACGGATCGGCAGGGAAGAGATGTATGTGCAAAAGAGTGGAAGTTGAAAAAGACACAAGGAATAGAAAAAATAATACATTTGCAATATACTAAGCATATACTAAGCTAAGCATTATGTTATAGAGAGAACTCCTGTTTTAGCACCTCAGATTTTCTCTGTTTTGTCATAAAAAATGGGGCAGCAAAAGTATAAGTAAGTACCAAACGCATTTTCCATAAAAAAATGATGCACTGTATGTAAATAAGCCTATCATGAGGTCTGCTACCCTTTTAAGATAAGAGCCCACTGTGAATTAGGGATGCTATTGAACATTTCCTCTTTCCTACAGCTATGGCATATCCCTCAAATCTCTAACACGAGTTAGGGTTAACAAATGAGGATGGATACATGGCCTAAATCTTTCCCTGTGACCAGTGCCCCTTCATGCGTGAGAAAAATTGCTCCAGAACTATGTTCATCATGCGCTAAGCTTAAACTGGGGCTTGATAGGAGCCACGAGGTCTGGGGGTAGCTTTCAGACTTACTTTCTGCATGATGTGGTTGACCCAAGGTGACGTGCAATTGCTGAGGTCAGGGCCTTGGGTATCCCAGTGGCCCAAATGAGCTACGCACATGTATGTAGCCACGCCTGCAAGATAAGCAAAGGGGAGATAATATGACAGCGCTGATATTCACAAGGAGAAAGGAAGACTCTTGAGCTCCTTAGGGTTCGCTAAGCATTTTGTGTTTGCCTGTGTGTGTGTAATTGGTGAATCATTACTGATGTGTGTATTAACTGACCCAAACACGAATATTTGTCCTGACAAAGTGTTGTGTATGTGTGTGAGTGTTATATCATTTTTCCAATAATTACTTGGTAGGAGAAAAAACAAAAAAAAGTAATATATAGATTATCACACACACTGTTACCATGTATAACTGTTTATGCGATAGAAACTATTTGGCCTCCTTACCCAGTGTCCCTACAGGGCACGGCTGTTTGGCCGTCTGGCCCTGCTGTGTGCGAGGCCACGATATGTCGGCTGTCACTACTGGATTACAGAAGTCTTGAGGAGGGAGGATTGGGGGCTGTGGGGGTGCTGGAGGGACTTGCACTGGAGGGGATCGACCCCCAACTTTCTGATTGGTGTCAGGAATCTGATTGCTGTCAGACGATGAACCTCCAGGAGGAACCAGAATGGGCTGGCGGACAGTGGTGGTTGTTCGATACCGCTGACCAGGGGATGTAGTCAGTAGAGGCCTTGGAGTGGTGTAGGAGGGGGGAGACCGTGTGGTGGTGGCGGCACGGCTGGTAGATGAAGAGGAACCTCCCCCACCAATTGGTCCCCCTCCTCGGTTTGGGGGGATTATGGGAGGTGGGCGAAAGTCTAGGAGAGAGGAGACTGGTTAAATTCACAAAAACACACAAAGCATGAGTTCTTCAACGAAAAGCCAGAAGGAAAAATATGTGCTGTGCACATTTGTGGATCCCCACAGTATTAGATTACAGGTGGTTTTGTGAGCCCTGGAGGCTAGGGCTTACGCCTTCAAGGTTCATCCATGGGATAAAAAACATAAGATGTACAGTGTTAAAAGACCCATCCGCATTAGCACCAAATGATTCGAGCAATCAAATAAGCATAAATAATGTAGCAACGGACACAAACACATTGCAGGGATTTGTTTACACGGTGCCAAATAGCTTTGACAGGGAGTAGCTCATGTTTCTGATGACTTCCCAATGTTAGTGTTTCATCCTTGTCAGTGCGGTCATGCGCCAGATCTTTGTGGGGTCGTTTCCTACTATCGAGTCCTATTTATTACCATCAATTGCAGGACATGTTTCTAAACAGTTCAGCCAACAACACTTATAACAGAACAAACTTGAACGTGTGTGGCAAAGTTGGGTTTGTGAAAAAGTTTCAGTGTATAAACTGCAACTCTCCAGCTCAAAGCAAGACCAGTGATTGGTTTTTCCCTGCATCTGTGTTTCCTTTGGGGAAACTAATGGTTCTTGCTGCTTAACCTGGCAGAAAAAACATTCTTTCAGTGGCATGCATGATTCATAGCACTATGACATCACAAGAGGTAGGAAGGCCACTTAAATGCATACGGCACACTCTTCTATTGTCAATATTTAATTGTAAAGAGGTTCAATTATTCACATTGACCCTGTTTAGGGGACAGAAATAAAGAATGAATGAATGAGATGATGGGAAGCGTACAGTATGTTGGTGAAGTGTCTGTGCCATTGTGGATGCAGAGGCTGTACCAGTCTGTCTCACTCTCTTTGCAAGATCAGTCTTGCACGATTAAAAAACGATATGAAGAAATGAACAATTTTTTAATTTGATTTACAGTTAAATACCGTACACTGGAGGAGACTAGTCTCTAAAGCTTAATTGTTACTTGCCTTTTACAAAAGCACAGATTAGTCTCATCCGCCGCACATTTACTATACAGCTGAGCATATTTGTATATGCAAAATATACACAAGAGCACTTTTTAGAAGATTGTAATTACAGACATCTGTCTATTAAGTTTACATATTCCACATTATGTGAGTTGCCTTGTCTCCAAACTACACTGTAATAATTTAATAATATTGCACTTTTGCACCTGGTATTTTTAGATTCAGCTACAACTTAGTTACTAAACAAAAATCAATAGAAGATTCTAAAAATGTGTTCTGGCTTCACCCTGCTATTCAAATCCCACAGTGTGTGACACGCAAACACACACAGCACAGATCACAAGGCAACTCAAATATGAACTCTTCAATTTCACGTTATGCTACTTTCTTCCACACAAATATGTATTTTCTAATAGTCAGCTTGTAGACTTTTTTTTTTTAACACACAAAGCAATGATAACCAAAAAGCTGTTTAGAGAAGACTGAGCTGCACGTGCCTTCAAACATTTCGTATTTCTGATTTCTGGTTAACAGGGTTCTTTAAAAATTTTCCGTTTAAGAAATAATAACAATAAGCTTAAAAACTGCCTTCGTGCTAAAATGATTGATTTCAAAATTTTCAGGAGACTTGTGTTTCTCATTGGTTTGCCTTAGGTCATAATACGTATTACACGGTGGTCACTGACACTGTAGGGTTGCAGATGTTTCACTGAAGACGTGCAAGTCTGACATGAGCCTAAATATAACTCCACACGTGTGTGTGTGTGGCAGCTGTTTAGCTCTTACTGATTTTAATTTCATATTAATTTTCCACTGATTTGAATTAGACAGTGAACCTACGCGATAGACGTAATAACAAGTGAAACAACCCATTAAGTTATAAATGGACTGTGGAAAAAATTAGCTTTACTTTTTGCATTGTTTTAATAAATGTTGTCTATTTTAATTTGTTCCTTGTTTTTGGGTAGGGGGGTTTGTTGGGTAGATGTGAGTGGAGAATAAAGTGCGAGTGTGTGGGTTGTTGTTGAATGGAGTGGGTGTTTACATTGTTTCCTGTGAACTAAAGTTGTCCCTTCCTGTGGATTTTTTTTCTTTCTCACTTTAATTAAAAGACACCGGGCTGTGCTTCTCTCCATCATTCTGTCTTCCTCCCTTTCTGTCTGTCTGCTTGACTGACAGCCATCTTACATCCCGCTCCTCCTGTACGTTCTGTTCTGTTCCTTCACAACTCAATGGAGTGTTTCCGTACCTAAACTGTGCTGCTCCCCGTTCCTGAATCACTGCCGCCCTGCCTCATGCATTCTCCACGGAACATTGCCATCAATCATGCGTGGCGGCAGTGGCCTAGGGACTAGCTGTCAATCTGCGTGTGTTTGTATGAGTGTGTGTACTTATGAAGCAGAGACAGAGTATGTGTGTGTGCCTATCTGGACTCAAACGGGAAGCTCCATTAGGGCCTCTGCCACAACAATAGAAGAGTAATGGTGTGTGTGCATGTGTGCATGTGTGCGTGTGCGTGACTGAGGTTGATGTCTGCTGTCATTCCAGTACAGGGCAGCAAACACACTGGCTGGCAGCTCCGGGTGAGGTAACACAAAAGTCTGCAAGCATCATAGGTAAGGGGCCACAGCACATCGCTCTCTATCTCTCTTCCTTCCTTCCTTTCTTCCTTCCTTCTTTCCTCAGCTGTTCTTTTAACATTTTTCACCCGATCTTATCTCTCACTCATAACTTTCTTCCACTATCTGAGACATCTTGTAGCCTTTCTCAGCACTACTTTAAATGTGCACTGCACTATGTTTTCTTATTTTTTTAGTTTTCTCCTCCTTTTCCTTGTTGTTTTGCAGCATTTTGGCTAAAAACGACATTCTAATGCTATGAATTCATCACCGCCATCACTCAGGATGCTGTGTAAGAGACCGTAGGGAACTATAGGAGCATGACATAACAGGTCCATGAAACATTTATGAAGAAAGAAGGCTAGAGGTTGCAGTTGTGGGGACTGACATATCTCCCCGCATCGAAACCGAGGGAACCTTGAGGAAATGTGCCGTGACAACTTCATGATGTCAGCTAACCTAAACACTATGCTCTTTGCCAAAACTGGTGCCACAAAAACACGCTGACAAATTTAGTACAAGCTCGTCACTTAAGGATTTTGCACGTATCTAAGCCTTGCACATGCTTGTGGGTGACATATTTTAACACATATATATTTTTAGGGCAAACCTGAGTCACTACCTTACCTGCCTTTGCTTACCAGGAGATGAAAAATGGCCATTGTGCAAAAGAAACAAGATTTTCTTCAGCGTCTTAAACTGACCAATTTGCTGAAGCCTGGTCTGCAATCGCTCCTTTTTTAAATTGAATTAACTTTCTTTAAATCAGTCATTCAAATAATACATATTTGTGCAACAATGCGATTACAGTTGCACTGATGAATAAGATCAAATAATTGCCAAGCTCTAATCTCATTCAATTCTACTGTGCAAACTCCATCTGATGAGGAAGCTCGCGTAATATAACTGAAAGCAACAGATCAGTTACTAATGGACCCAGTGGGCTCGTAGTTGTGCTCTCTGTTGCTTCCTCGGACAAGAATAAACACTTAATCTCAGAAGTGCCTGAAATGCATCTACACTTTCATGTCAATTGCCAAACTCCATCTGAAGAACATTTGGTATTCTATTCTATTCTATTCTATTCTACTCTATTTGTTATTCTGACCTGTAGCAAGCCCAGGGGAAGGTGAGACAGAGACAATGGCAGGGTGGCAGTAAACTTGTTCCTGAAGTTGTCATCTGTCACCACACTGGAGGGGCCACAGAGATGCTGTCAGTCAGCCTGGGATGCTAGCACATGATCATCTGACATGCAGACAGGCACTGTGTTTGTGTGTGCGAGTGTGTTTGTGTGTGCCGTGATGTTTTTCTGTGTGGGTAAGACTGCCTGTCGCTGCCTCTGCTCTGTTGCAGAGAATGCTCTTGTTGACTTCTCACTTGGTAAACAGAGGGATCGTAAATCCACAACACAAAAGGTAGAAGGCAGGGAGGAGAGAGGAGAGGGAAAACGAACTTCCCCTGGCAAGTTTCCCACACTGTCAGAAAAAAAATGGCAGACAGGCGGCAAGAAGGAGAGGCAGAGTGAAACGGAAGCAAAGAGGGACTTGAATTAAGGGAGAAGTTTTGCAGAACTTGAATGAAGTGTCTATTACATTATCGAGAATGTGAGACGATTTAGTGAAAATCTACTGCATCCGTGCCCTCACACATGCAAACACTATTCTGAGCAGTGGGGAAGGATGAATCTAGAGGGGTAAAGGCAAAATGAATCTGACTGGGGGCCCAAACGCTTTCTAGGTTTGATGGTAGCACACGCGCTAAATGGAACTGCATACAACGATAACATGCCACCCCTATGGCTGAAGAGCACACACACACATAAAACCAGAGCTTGTGGCGAGTGGCTCAAGTCTGCTGATAAGACAGAATGGAGCACTTCAAAGTAGCGATACTTTCAAGATTAAAAACGAAAAAAACCACACATACACAAAAACAACCCCCACTAATAGAGCTTCACTCAAAATGGCTGCCAGGGACCCGCACCACGATCTACAGCTAATGCTTCACATGCAGACACATCCCTGCTCAGCCCTGTTGGCTTTCCAGTTGCATAATCATGCCATCCCTCTGCTGAGCTCTAAGGCACCTGCAGCAAGTTTTCCAATTACATGCTTCTTTCTTAATCAGAGGAAGCTCCCTTGTTCAAAGCAAAAAGCTAACGGGACAGACCAAATTGTCTTTTTTAACTCTTTTTTTTAAGTTTTAAAATATAAAGATTCATCAGCACATTCCTTTAGAGCCTCAATTGCTCCTTTTCCAGGCAGGCTATAAACTTATGTCAGTTATATGAGCACTGCGATGAAAATTTATCTATAAGGCATCTAGTAAAATACAATGAATATATTTGAATGGG